ACCTTCCAAAGTACAACCAGCTACCCCACAAGGAGCGCCTTGCTGCTGTGGCTAAGCTGTGGAGACAACAGCAGCAGACAACGATGAAGAAGATCTGAGCCCCCACGCCAGCGATATGGGTAGGGCGTGGGTGTGTCTTGCTGATAACATCTCTCTGGCGCACGTGTGTGAGCGTCTTTTTCATCGTGAGTCTTTCTCAAGCAAAACAGTGGCGATGCCGTCGCTGGAGGTGGACGGCCCGCATATGAGACACAAAGAAATAAACACGATATATATACAGATATATATCCAGAGTACATATACCTAGAATATATATATATATATATATATATATANAGCGATATGGGTAGGGCGTGGGTGTGTCTTGCTGATAACATCTCTCTGGCGCGATGACAACCCAATTGGGTTGATAGAATCACTCCAATCATTTCCATAGTTGTAACAGAAGGTGAAAAGGGGCGAAAGAAGACGAGTTGGTCGTGATGTTTCTCTGTGCGACCAGGGCAGCGGCTTCGGACTCCTTCGTTTGAACGCTTTGGCGTTGGAGAAATGGGCGGAAGACGGGTGTAAGTGACTCCGCAGTGTTTTCCGAGAGCAGGGCCATGTGCCGTTGTGTTATTGCGACATTAGTTTGCTTCTGGTTCTTTCTTCTGCTCACTATGTTGTGGGCCAACCTAGAATAAAGCACGATGGCAAATCGTTTTCCCCGTTTGTTGTTGTGTTTGTGCTGCGGTCCACTTTTTTCTTCCTTTGCTTTACGTTGTCTCACTGTATCTATTCTTTTTAGTTATATATATATATATATATNTGTGTGTGTGTGTGTGTGTGGGTGTAGTTATTTATTTATATGCTTCCTCCTCGTCCTACTCGTCGTTTTTGTTTTATTAATAAAGAAAGGATTGATTTTCTTCTTGTTTCCATACCGCTTTTGATAAAATGATGCGCTTGGCTCGTGTACTCTTGGCGTCGAAGCCAAACGTCTACACCACGTTCAGCAGAGCTGTCTTCCCTGTCATTAAGGGTGCTCCGCCTCAAAGGAGCAAGATTGTCGGCGCCTTGTGGAGGACGGCGAAAGATGCCGGCTGCGGTAAGCACCCCGAAAAGGCCGTTAAACTCTACTTTAAGAACGGGCTGCCTCTGAAGGGCAAGTCGCGGGTTTCGATAAAGACGATGACCAAGCGGTTGAAGCTTGTCAAGAAACAGGAACAGCAGAGAATGAGGGAAATCAAGAAGGAGAAGATGCTCAAGTTGGCTGCACTCAGGAAGAAGAAGTCGATGAAGAGGATGAAGGCACTCAAGAAGAAGGCAAACAAGAAGAAGTCCACCACCACCGCCGCCGCTGCAAAGAAGAAGAAGACATGCAGGGCTTCGAAGAGCAAGCGGCGTGTGAAGGTGTTGAAGTCCAGCTGGACGAAGGTGGCTGAAAAAAAGCCTATCCTTGAGGGCGCGATTCCTCTGCCGTGAGAATCGGGCAGGCGCAGGCCTTTCTGCATATATATATATAGAGTAAGCGAGAAGGAGGGAGCGAGGGTGAGAGGGTCACACATAGGGACGGGGCGGGGGCAGCAAAGGGAAGCAGCCCTGCGACATGGGAAATGGGCGTGAGGAAAGGATTAACGGCGGAAGAAACGTAATGACAACGAGATGTAAGGCGGAAAGTGACGTAAAGCCCATGTGGGGGTATTTGTGAGAGGTGATGAGCCGTGGCGATAGAGGCGAGACGTAAGTCCCGCAGCCCTTTTTTTTGCTCTCACCGCTTCTCTTGTTCAGTTGCTTTTTCTCTTGTTAGTCTCTGTCGTTGTTGTTTCTGCATCTTTGGGTGCGTGCATGATATCAATACACTCTACCGAACGCCTCGACGTCCCTATTCCCTTCCCTAGCTTCTACATTTCATCCTGTACCTGTCATCTTTTTCGTGTTGTTTTACTATTTTTTGTTTTCTCAACTAGGTTTTTTCTCTTCTCCGATTGTTGCGCATGCATCTGTGGGGGTGAGTGAGTGTGCGGAAGCCTGCACAATCGCCAAACTCATATGATGATGCGAGAAGTCGGTTCGGCAGAAGGTGAGAGGTGACTTCGATGTTCGTCTCGTATTTTCTTTGTTTGGTCGTTCCCCAGTCTTTTATGCTCTGCGGCGAGCCCTTCTCATTCTCTATATGAATCTTGTGTGCTACCGTTGTGTATGGGTGGGTGCACAAGTTCTCTGTTGTGGAGAGATGCCAATCAACACTCCACAATTTTAGGGGATTACGCGGGGATTATCCTGGGGCTCTGGAGGCGCAGGAGAATGAAGCTAGAAAGGAAAAAAAAAATAATAATAAGGTGCTGCCTCCAATTTGGGGTGACGTGTGTTGCGTAGTGAGTGAAAAATATGATTCCTCTGACAAATCGTGATGTGATTCTTGACCTCTTTCTGTCTCTTCCTTTTCTTGGCAGCGAGGCGAAGATAGAAGCTCTTGTAATGCCGCCGCGGCGAACCAAAAAAGAAACCGTACCCCAGTCAAAACGAACGGTTCAGGCTAATAGCAATACCAACGGCAACGGCAGCAATGCCGCCACACGGGGTGCGGCCCCGAAGAGGACAGTGAAACCTGTGCCTGGGGCGCGCCTTCGTGATCTATTAAGTGCTCATCCAGTAGATGATTTACAAAATCAAACCGAGGCGTCACTCCACAAGCCACGCGGCAGTGGTTTGGGTTCCATTCAGCGTCTCTCTACCATTCTGCACGGTGCTTTTCTCGTCACAATGGCGAAAAAGGCACAACTTCGAGTTTCTCACACTGGAGCAAACGTCACCGTAACAGTGGACGCTGAGTGGCTGGAGGCAATTGTGCGGTACTGCGGTTTCACGGTCTTGACTCGTGACATCATTGAGTGCGGCGCCGCATTCACTGCTTGGCTGCAGGTCTCGGTGACTGCGGGCCCCGGCGGAGTGGCAGAAGAAGCTCCTGCTAGTCACAATACAGGGACTGCGAGTCTGGGAGGCCTGAAGCAGCTGGGGGAGGGGGTGGCGGCCGCGGCGGTGGTGGTGAAACTGAGGCTCCTCCGTGAAAGTGTGCCGTCTGTTCTGGAGGCGGAGGCGCATCTAAAGAAGCGTTGGGGGCGCACTGAGGCCTGGCGAGACACCCTGTTTTCTGCTGGGCTCACCACGGCCAGGGAGACAGGTGAAGTAGACTTCCGCAGCAACGACGACCTTTCGTTGAACGACGGTAAAACAAGGGGCACCATGGTGCATTCCACGTCAGATGATGATAAAAGCGAAGGAGGCGGCGGTGTCAGTGATGAGGAGTTGCTAGCACAGATATCCAAGGAACTTCGAGCCTCCCTATCGGAGGATAAGCTGCGTGCCGTTGTTGCGCAAATGCGGAGGGAGTCACTCGGCCTCGAGGCAAAGGAGCAGGAGAAAATAAGTAGGCGACAGCGACAAGAGCGGCTGTTGTCAACCTACGACCTGGTGCGCAGTATTTTGGGTGAGAAGCGGTCGGTGTGTAACACAGCACATATATTGCAGCAGATGGCTGCGCAGAACCGTTTTGGCGACGACATGGATGGCGCCCTCGAGCAGTTGGCGTCTCTTGCGCGCCACAAGGAGAGTGGTATTGTGCTATTTAAGTTGGATGACGAGCCTGAGCTGCTTCTGCCGCAGCAGCGGAATGGGGAGGGCGGGACAGCTCCTTCATTCACGGTGAGGGAGGTGGATCTTTGTCGCTGCTCCACGCGCGAGCTGGAGGCGGTGCTGCTGCGTTTGGACCGCCACGTGGCGTCGAGGGCTGCGCTGCACGCAGCGCTACTACAAGAGTAAGATGCTTCTCTTCCCCACCATTTTCTGAGTCAGTACGTGCGACAGCGCGAGTGACATGCCAACCGGGAGCTGCTGTGTGCATGGGCTACAGAAAAAGAGCGAGAGAGTGTGTGTGGAGTTCTGCAATGCCAACGTGTCTCTCATTTTGTCTTTGAATACACAAGCACACACACACACACCCTCTTCCACCACCACTAGCACCAGCACCACCTCGGTTGTGCATAGGTGGGTGCCAGGAGGGAGGACGGAAGGAAGGGAACAATAATAATAATGATAATTCTGCGTCGCACCAATGCTTGCCTGTCCGCGAAGAAAATTCCCTTCGTGTTGTGTGGCTCGCGTTTTTCGCCGGCTGTGTTGCGCGCCGAGTTGGCGGCCATTGAGGGCGGCTTCCAGCGAGAGTTCCCTGATGCTTCGCTGACCTCGCCTTTAAGTGGTGATGTGGTGCCGTGCGCCAACACCACACCACATAAGAAGCAGAAGAGGCGCGCGTTTGATGTCATTGTTCGCTGGTGTGGTGCGCACCAGAAGGCGGCTATGCAATCGGCGTTGCTCTCTGACATGAGAGAGGAGCCGCCCAATACCGTTGCTTCTGTTTTTAATTCGCCGTCTCATGAGGCAGATGAGGCGGCGATGCGGTGGCTGGAGGGGTCTTCTGGTTTCCTAACGTGCGGGCAAACGCTGCTTGTGTGCAGTTTTGTTTGTGAGGTACTCCTCTGCCGTCTTGATGCTGCAGCTGCGGCACCTGAGGCGGCGGCAGATAATGCACTCCGACAGCAGGTGGGGGAGCTCACGAACAGAATCGTTGCGCTGCTTCAGCGTGCCAATGCAAGCGACAAACTTGAGACACAACCACTTTCTATACTCATGAGCTGCACCTACGGCGTGCATCGCCTTGCCTCATCGGAGAGTGAATTGCTTGGAGAGGCGGAGAGAGCATTACTGAGAACACCAACGGCGTTGATGTTTGCTGTTTTGCATCAACTGCGCGGTGATGCCCTGGTGAAGCTCTTTGAACTGGAGGCGCGGGCAGCTGTGGATGTGTGCTTGTCTTTTTTGTACATTGCAGACGAGGAGCGGCGGCAGATGTTTCTCACCGGGGGTGATACAGTGCTTATGAACACCATCCTGCGTCGCCTGGTACGATACATCGCCTCATCAACGAAGCAGTTAAAAGAGACAACATTGGATGAAGACTTCGCTGGTCTATTGCAAGCCAGCACTTCAAAAAGACCATCATTGTGCGGTGCGAAGGGAGGGACAATTGCCCATTCTCCGTCGATGCGGGAGTGTCTTGCCATCATGCAGAATATCGCTTTTAGTTCCGCAGCATATAGATTAGAGGTGCTGACGTATCTTCTGTGTGTGCGACGGAGCCCGGCGCTTTACACGCAGGATGAAGTTCGGCTCCTGCCCAGTGTGTTGCAGACGGTAGCGAATATTCGCTCAGAGGAATGCCGAAGCCTCAGAGCGAAGGTAATTTTCCAGACCCCGTTTCCGGAGGATGACCCTGCGCTTGTCGCCGAGCTTTTCAGTCACGCCCCTCACAAAAAGGCGCCTCACCTCACATACTTGAATTTGGTGGAAGATAACTGTCTTTCGTCGGCAGACGCAATGAGGGTCATCCTCTCTGCTGGTGTTCATCTTGACTGGGAGGCTTTCCAGCGCTTTGTCGCTTCGGCTCTTCCCAACAATACAGCAGGGACATCTTTGCCAAAACAGTTGTTAAGTGATGCGATGGAGTGCGTCTTGTCGACATTGCTTAAACGTATGGCGGAGATGCCGCATGATACAGAAAGAGATGAAACCCGTGAATATGCACTACGGCTTGCCAGAAGCATTGACTGGGCTGCTAGCAAACCGCCTGTATCGGCCAGGCTTGCGTTACAGCGGCTCGTACTTCTCACAGACTTGTCAAATAGTGGATTCCCTGTGGATGCACCAGATGCTGTCTTGGCACTGTCTGAACGAGCGCTAGACCTTGAGTCGGGAAGCAGCATGACACACACACTCAGGTGTGTCATGGAGGCGTTGCCACTGGTGCCTGACAACGAAAGACGTCAGAAGATTGTAGAGTGTATGCTTCGTTACAACGGCACCCGATCATCGTCGTCTGTGATACGCTGCATCGCGTTCCTGACACCCCTTATAGTTGAGCATGGTCTGCAAAGAGGCGAGCTGGTCCAGCAGATGCTGAAGATGCAGACGCTGAATCCCCTCAAGTTGCGCCAGAATTCAATTGAGGGAATGGAGAATGACACTGATGTCTTCACGTTGTTTATCATTCAAGCCATGAATTACGTCTTGGCGAGTGAAGAGTGGCGCACGTCGACGGATCGGATCCGTGAAGTGATGTCCCTTTGGATTCACGATTACCTTCGCTATGTGATGGACCTCTCACGGAGGCACGCACTCACGGAGGAGTCAGCACAGAGGAATAGCGAAGCGGCGTCATCTCACGTTAACCGTGAGGAAACGACCGTTACAACAGTACCAACAACAACAAAAATAGTGTCGGTCGCTGCCTCTTCTTTAGTAGGACCCACACACGAGCGCTTTGAGGAGGTGCTTGTATGTGTTCTGCGTGCTGGTGTGAAGATGCCAGACTTTTTTGGATCCGAATTGTCCATTCGTGTGCGGCAGATAGAGCGGGATGGAGCGTCTGTCAACGGGACGAAGTGTAAAACGAACTTTCCCCCGCCTGGACACTTTGTGTTCTGCTGCAAACTCGATATCGCTATGGACTCACCGCTTTCATCGAAGCTGCTAGAGTACCTCCTCACCACTTGTGACTGCCGCACGCTCCACCTTGTCATCATCGCGTTCCTCACAAATGCCAAGGTTTCGGCTCAGGATGCTCGTTTGTCTTTGGTGGCAAACCTGCGATTGGCCTCTCACTGCCTAGAGCTTTTCCTGCGTCGCGTTGACGAAATGGGCGATGCCACGGAGAAGGTCTTCCGTCCCTCGTCTTTGTCATCAGTCTCGGCCAATATGCTACGCTTCATCGTTGGGTACCTTACCAAACAGGAAAGAAATCGGCGTGTACTTGAGCGCCTTCACGACCCGCAACATGAGGAGACGAAGGAGCCGAAGGAGAATGAAGTTGACAGCCACTTGGTTACGGAACAGGCGCGTATTGAGACGTTGTTGACACGTGTGCTGGTGTGGCTGTCGGCGGCGCATGTGAAGGATCTGGGTCTGCTTCTACTGGATCGGATGGCTCAGTTGGCTCCTGCGGCTGCCGAATACCTCCTCCTTCGCCTCACCAGCCAACTGGAGGAGTTCACGCAGGTGGAATTGTTTTATCTTGCGCGTAAGTGCCCAAAATCTCAGGACCTTGTCATGAAGGAGCTAAAGAAGTACGATATCGCTCTTTCCGTTGACCTCAGTGATCATGTGCGCGTGGCGGGGAGTCTCCCAATGGCGATCAACGAGATGGTCATTGAAGCGCACTTGCCAAGTATCAGCTTTCATTGGTGTACACGACTCCTCTCTGCATTGTCCGTGCGACACGAGACCATACCAATGCATCTGTTGGCATCCATTTTGCGCAGACTTGAGGAGGAGACTGAAAATGCGACTGTGATGGACCGCAACGTTGCTCTTGTCGTATTGCAGAAATACCTCAACTTTGAACATCCACTAAAAGACGAAACTGAGTCGTGTGAACGACGTCGCCTCATTGAACGAACTTTTGACCAGTTGCTGGTGCTAGAAGGCATCAACTCGCTGGACACTCTCTCCGGTTTCTTGTCTGAGTTCCCGGATGCGCTTCGTGGTATTGCTGGCGACCGCATAACCGAGCACGTCTTGCAAGCTGTATTCCCAGGGATGCTGACAGATTTGGAAGGCCTCCTCACTCTGTGTCGTCTACTGCATAAGCACAAGCTGTTGAGCAGGAATGTGAGACTGGGCGTTGCGGAGGGATTCTTTGTGAAGACACTGCGCGTAGAGTCTGCCAATGCTCACGGCGATGATACCGATGATAGTGTCAAGGGTACAGTGTCTACTTCTTCACCACAGTCTGCAACATCATTAGTGGTGGGTGCGACGTACCCGTTGGGTAATGTACTGGCTTTGGCCTTGCTGTTGAGTACGGCTGCGGTGCAGCCCGTGGTGACATGTGACAGGGATGCAGTGCTGACAGGTAGAAATGATGATGAGCACGTGGATACCTGTGTTCTGCAGGCTGTGAAGGAGCGTTACTCCTCTTTGCAGGATCGATTGATTATTGTAAGTGCGCTGGTTGAGCAGAGAGAGACAGCTGGAACTGCGCGCACACAATGCATGGTGGCGGAGGAAATATGTGAAGAGTTGATTCAGGACTGCGAAAAGTTGACACCCAGTGAATTCTCCCGACTTCTTCAGTGCATCAGCCGACTGAAGTGCTGGCACATGGTGAAATTGCACAGCGCAAACTTTGGATCTCTGCTCCAGCAGACTTGCCGGCAAGCTGATGCCCATAGCCGTTGTGTTGTTTTCAAGGCTGTCTCCTTGGAGGCCGACTTATTTCGTAACTACGAGTCATTCATGATGCCACTGCTGACGGAAGTGGTGGACGTCATGTCAAAGGAGGACCTCGAAATGGTACTATCTGCAGTGCTCAGCCTGCCACTCACGGAACCACTGGAGTCACTGATTGACGCCATGGGTACGCGCGTACTCGCTATGGTGGATCAGTGCAGGCGTAGCACACTGATACGTATGCTGCAGTGCCACGCTGCCTTTGGGCTGCAGGATGACGTGCTCGTGGGGCGTCTTCTCACCGCACTGGAGGAGCAGTGTGGGCGAGAGGCGCGCCTCGACACCACACAGGTGCTGACGCTGCTACAGGCTGTAGTGGACTTGGATGTGCCGATTCCAGCGAAATTGGCCATTACTTGCTTTATGTGGCTAGAGCATCACGTAGAAAGTATGACAACCTCGCAGCTTGGGCAGGCTGCCCGCCTGGCGGTGAATGTGGAGATGGGGTACACCGCCTCTGTGCACACTGTGGCGATGCGCGCGCTGGAGCAGCGTGACGCAATTCGGAGTAATGCAGCTTTCCGCAACTCAGTGGAGTTGCTTTGTGATGAGTTCAGTGTGGAAACACCGTGGCACCTGAAGGCTGCAGTGTTGCGGCGGCGCTACCAGGCGGGGCGCCTCAAGGATTACTGCGACAAGCGGCGGTCTGCAGGCGTATCGGCATCGCCAGCAACAACTCTTTCTGCTGCAGAAGCATAATTGTCTTGTGTAGCCGCCGCGCCGCGGGGAATGTGTGTGCTTTTGTTTTGTGTTGTGTTGTGTTTGGTGCAATAAAATTCCTCAGCTCACCATGCCCTTGCCGTGAAGAGAATTTCCATGTTTTTGTTCACATATCATGATTGGCCTAGTACCTTTTTTATTCATTATAATTCTTTTTGTTCCATGCCTGCTCATGTTTTTTTCTTTTTTAAACCTGAAGTGATGCTGCCTGCAAAGGAAGGTGCCAGCAGCAAACAGGACGACGCTGCCACCGAGGCGTGTATTCTCCTTGCATCGCGCCAGTATGACGTGGAAATGGTATTTTCCGTGTCGTTGCGCAGTCTCGGCTTCCGCTCACTGGGCGACGCTTTCACCCGTTGCCGCGCGTTGACGCGGCTAGATGTATCGCGAAACCGTCTCGTCAGCCTTGAGGGTGTTGCACCGCTTGCTGACTCGCTGCAGTACCTGAACGCCGCGGAGAATCAGCTGAAGGACTTGACAGGAATAGACTGCTGCACACAGGTGGAGGAGTTGCTGCTTGAAGGTAACGAGCTCAGCAATGAGGCGGCAATCGCGCCGTTGGCGAAGCTGCCGGTTCTCCGCCATCTCATGCTGCAGCGGGCGGTGCGTCTTGATGACATGGACGAAGCGTTTCTGCTGGACAACCCCATCTGCCGGGAGACGGCTACTTACGAGAAAATCATTCAACGACTTTTTGTTGCGGTGCTTTGTGTTGATGGTCGCTGTTTTCGCGACCCACCGCCAACGGATGTAGTGGCGAGTGCGATGTTGGAGCTTCCCTTGGGCGACGGCCTGCAGACGACATTGGACATTGACGACGACATTGAAGAGCGGATGCTCGCTAACGCCGTGGCGGAGTGTAGCGCTGCGTGCCGAAGGGCGCTGTCTGCTTTGGAGTGAGAGAGGCATGGTACTCCAGTGTATGTGGCAAGGAATTGTCATTCCGTCCACCATCGAATTGCTTCAGCCCTCTACATCCTTTGATTTACCGCTGTGGCTCACCGCTCTACGCTCGCCGCCTTTTGTTATCTATGTTGCTTTTTTAAAAAATATATATATATTTGTTGCTGTTGTTTAGGGTGGTGTGGCAATGGCCGGCGACGACGGCGTGGCGGTGCGGTGCGCTGACGATCGCATCGCACTTGGCGATCACGTCATCCTCACCGGTGGCGGCCTCAAGCGCATGGTGGCGTTGCAGGCGGGCAACAGAATTCGTCTTGGCAGCGCAGGGACGGTGCAGCTCGACACGCTTGCCGGCCTGCGCTTCGGTGAGGTGGTGCGCTACGACCCGAAAGACCGTGTGTTTGTCCCGACAAACGAGTATCCTGATCTTGACATCACGAACCTTCAGCAGGGCGTGCAGGAGGGGCGCGACAACCGGCACCTCGTAGACGACAACCGGAGTCAGGTCTTATCCAACGCGGAGGTGGCCGCCCTGCGGCAGGAGAAGGGTGTCGATGAACTGCTCACGTCCCTCGTGGAGAAGAGCACGACGTTCCACACGAAGACGGCCTATGCGCAGGAGAAGTATCTGCGCAAGAAGAAGAAGCGTTATGGCACACTGTACAAGGTCGAGCGCGTGACACCTGACGGCGCAGCGGAGATTCACCTGCCGACGATCAACCCCTCCGATGTGGAACCGGAGGAGACGCGGTCGATGCGGCTCCGCGCCGACACCCTCGCACTGATCTTGCACCACAGCGACGTGCACAGCGGTAGCAGGGTACTCGTCTACGACAAGACAAATGGCCACCTGGAAGCGGCGCTACTCACGCGTCTCGGTGACGACGGAATCCTGCTGCAGTTAATGGACAGAGTGGCGCAGCCAAACATGTTTCCCGCGCAGGCCATGGGCCTGACACGCATTCGTGAGCTCTGGAAGGCCGTCCCACGCAATGACGGATTTCTCCTTGGTGTGGAGACTCCAGAGGACGAGGAGAAGGCAGTGGAGAAGAACAAGAGGCGGACAAACGAGACTGGTGGTGGTGTGTCGCAGTGGATGCGGGGTATCGACGCACACCGTATGTTGAAAGAGCGGCCGGCGGATGCGCTAATTGTTGCATCCGACGAGGGTGTGGAGGAAGCACTGACAGACCTGCTGCCGTTTGTTGCATTGGGTGCCCATATTGTGGTGTACAGCCCATTTCTCGAAGACCTCACCGGTCTCTTTTCTCTTTTGCGCAGAGAGTGCGTCAATGTTCGAATTTCCGAGACATGGTACCGCCATCACCAGGTGCTGTTGAACCGCACACACCCCACCGTGAACATGAGCACAGCGGGCGGCTTCTTGCTGACGGCAGTCAAGGTCGATGCAACCAGCAACACACGGCCCCGCCACGAGAGGGTGGAGCAGCTGCAGCAGTCAGCGGGGGAGGTAGATGTTGCCACGTCGCGCAAACGCACACGCGAGCAGCAAGGTGGGGAGGAAGGAGGCAATGAAGAGGAAGATGAGGTGGAGGGATCGGATGGACCCGAGGGATGAAGCAGCTGTACACCCGGTGGTGGAAACACTGCGGCAATTGACTAAACCCCTCGAACGTAAAGAAACACAAAACAGAACAAGAGTTGACACACACCGGGATGTGTGTCGGAAGCACAATGGCGTGCTGCTGCTTATTAAAGCAGCGTACATCCTTTTTTTTTGTGTCGCTACACCCATCATACTTGTCTTTTTTTTTCCGTTCTTTTTTTTTTTTTTTGCTATTGTTGCTGTTTGGGGTGTGTGTAACTTCTCTGCGACGTGAAAACAAAAAGGAAGCCAGACACTTTTAATTTTTTCTTGACGCACACCAGAAGCTTGCAAGAGGAGAACGGGCAACTATGATTTACGACGTGAACTCCCCGCAGTACCAGCAGTTCCTTAGGTCCAGCGGCCGCCGTCGTGAGGACTACACGAAGGGAACGAAGCCGGGATTTGTGATGAACAAGCAGACCAGCAAGCCGGCGGGCGCCGCAAGCACCGGGCTGTAGGCGGAATGTATGTGTGCGTGCGTTTTTGACGGAGCCGACAATAAGACAGGAAACACATCCAACTAAATAACTGCTGTAACTGCAGAAGCACTGTTCTGTAATACGCCTCTTTTTAAGAGATAAAGGGGCAAGGAGGTAGAAAGAGCGAGAGTGTGTGAGTGGGAGAGAGAAGGTGAAGGGTTTGCCCTGAAGTACGGCTGATGGTTAGTCTCTCTCATTCTCTTCTTTTCTATTTTTCTCATTGCTTGGGATCGTGAACTTTATTGTTTCACACCCCGTCCCCGTGCTTGCTGCGTTTCCCTTATTTTGTGGTGTATATCTTTTTCCTCCTATTCTTCCTGCTCCTTCTTCTCCCCCTCCTCCTCCCGCTCACCACCATTCTGCGATGCATAAGAAGGATAGTGCATGAAATGAAACGCGTATTTGATCGTTTTTATCATGCAACTGGCATCATTACCGACTCCAGCCAACGCGGTGTCGCCAGCCGGGTGAGTTCGATGCTTGTGCAGGGAGCTGTAGCCTTTTCGCTACTCGGTACGCTCGGCGTTGACACGTCACCCCTTATTGCGGCTGCTGGCATAACAGGAGCCACTATCGGTTTCGCATGCAAGGACTTCGGTTCCAATTTTGTTGCAAGCATCGCGCTGAGCGGCCAGCAGTCGCTCCGCACCGGCAACTACGTGTCCATCGGGACTGGTCCTTCCCTCATTAAGGGGAAAGTGGTGGACTGGGATACTCGTTACTTGTACCTTCTCAACACCGAAGGCCACCTGCTGCATGTCCCCAATAACATGGTTCTCAACTCTGTGGTGGCGTGGGAAAAAGACCCGGCGGAGAAAAAACCGCAGATCAAGGCTGAAAATGGGAACGCTACTGCTGGTAATAGTACATCAAAGTAGACATTGTGGATGTTCTTTGTGGAGCTTCTGTGGGGTATTTCACTTATTTTTCATTCTTTCTATAGTTGCTAAGTTTGGCCTTTCAGTGGCTGTGTCTGGCTACTGTGCGCTGGGTGGGCAAATATAGTGTTCTTTTTGTTTTCTGCTTTCCTTCTTGTGCTGAGGCCCATTCTTTCTTCCAAAGATTCCAACACACCGCAGTGGTCCTCCTAACCCTTTACGAAGAGGAGAAAGGGAGGTGTACAAAAGGGGGAAGGAGGCCCACTCTTCTTTCCACGAAGGGAAGGAACATAGAGGGGTGAGGGTGGAAGGTGAAGGAAAGATAACTAGGCTAGAAGGAGCCAGGCCCTCAATTCTGTAGATGTCGTGCATGACATCTCTCTCCTTCAGCAATGTCGGCGTGCTTCGCCGAACTGCGGCGCACCCTGGACCGTTCCCACTGTCCCCCACGTACGTGGAGCTGACACCCGGCGTGTACCTCGTTGCCTCAGTGAACACGGCTAGGGATCAATGCACGCTGGAGCTCCTCGTTGGCGGCGTCGCTGCAGCCCCGACCTCCCCAACCGCCGCTTCCACTCACCAAACAACAACGTTGGATAACCAGAAGACGTTAGATGCTATTCGAAAAACGTTCCGTTCGCCGATTGTTCTGCAAATACTCAAGGAAGAGGGGGCCATCACAGCTATCGAGTTTGCCCGGGACTGGAGGAAATTGCCAGGTGGTAGAGAGCAGCCGCTTGGGTGGAGACGGTCCTTAGGCTCGTTTTATGTGCATCTGTTCATTGGTACATCTAACGGTACGGTATTCATATGTAATGCGCTGCGTGGAACAATCATGGCGGTGGCGCAGTTTCAGTACCACGGAGACTTTGCTCAGGAACGTCCTGAATCTTCCCGAATGATTCCATCGGCAAGCCGTCACACCAATGAGGCGGTGGTTCGATTTGCTGTCCACGCCACGGGACCAATGACGCGGCTCAACCCTAACGTCACACAAAGCGTGGCTGCTGCGCAGGCGGGGACCCTGCATGCTGTGTGCGTTGTACATAGTAAGGGGAGGGTTGTGATGCTTGGTAGGGCCGTGCTTGATATTTTTCTCTCCAAGGCGGAGCAGCGACTCGATGGGAAGCGACCGTACATATTTCTCGAATGGTCGCCTGGTAGCAGCGTAAGCTCGTTTCCAGTTGCAGGGCCTGCAGTTGAATTTGCTTCACAGGTAGAGAGTGTCTTCATCATGAAAGAGGAGAATCGATACTCTGTCGTGGAGCTACAGACGCGGAAGACGGCGTCTACTGAGATTGAACGCCGCATCAATGACGCTGCCTTCTTCTTAAGCAGCCGAGGTGACACCACAGAAGTTCTCCGTAACGGCCCACAAGCCGTGGAGTCGCTTTTCTTGTGTGGCGAGACACCAGCATGCGTGATGTACACATTTGAAAGCGAGCGCGCTGCGTTTTCTGCGCGACAAACCGTACGGGCTGTGATGTCGTTAATAGGTGGGATGACGCGACGAATCTGGCGGGGATCTGCTGAAGAGGAAGAGGCACAGGTAGTGAACCCAAAGCACATTGCCAAGAAGCCACAGAGTACCAAGGATGCCTTCTTAGAGGCTGATATTGTATTCAATGTGGTGCAGGTAGATCCAACTTCCCAATGGGCTGCCTGCTACAGTGAAGGCGCTGGTCGCATTTACCTGTATGACCTAAGGGGTGGCGTGGTGTGGCGGGTAATGAAAGGCTGCCGCTCTGCAGAGTTCCATTGGCAGATGGCAACCATCAAGGGGAAACGTATGCTGCTTCTCGTCGTGCATCTGCTTCTTCGGCATGCAGTGGAGGTGTACTCACTGCGCTTGGGGCGGCGCGTGGCAGCACGACACGTCCCTCACGGGTCCATTTTACTTCGTCCGGACTCATCTTTGTTGCTGTCATCATCATCATCGTCGTCTTCATCATCATCATCATCATCATCATCATTCGCATCGTCTGTGTTGCTGCTCTGCCCCTCCGGTCAGGTGGTGCGAATACAGATGGAACTGGATAGTTATGAAGAAGGCTCCCCTTCTTCAGGTACACCACCGCACGTTTCACAAGCCTCAGTGGCAAATGGCGAGCGGCCCTCCACTGGTGCGGCACGCGGGAGCGGGAGACGAATGATGCCGCATGAAATTCTTATGGCTTCGCTTCGTCTTCCACTGCCGATACCTGTCACAGACGACCACCTCTTTGCGACGTTTTGCTCACAGATGGAGGGGTTTGCCAATACCATCAGGTCTGACTTCTCGCCGGGAGTTTCCGATGACCGCTGCCTTCCAATGGGGGTGGCAACAAGAGTAGAAAATGTTCCTTGTGACGTAACTGCGGCACAGTGCCTCAATTATGTGGAGCTGCGACTTGCCTGCGTGGTAAATTACCGTCGCGCTATGATTGGTGGTAAAGCACCACCATCCCACGTAAGTTTGTTGACATGGAGCGTTGATGCTTCCCCTTCTTCTAATGAAGGGCAACCCCAAACCTTACTTGAGCGAGCGGTGCATGTGGTGACAACGACGCTTCTCACTGAGAACGATGGAGAGTTCAGAAACCTTACCGAGAATGTGGTGCCCTCTTTAAAACAGCTCATGGGGGAGCACAATGATGGTGCATTGGCAAAGAACTGCACGGAAGTCGCCCCTATTGCTCTTGATGTCTTCTTAACCCTGTTCCACAGTGGGGGGTATAAATTACAGTTTCTGCGGGAGTCAGTGCAACAGCACGAATTCAGGAACTCGGCAACAGATGATATATGGTCTCAAATCGGAGCCGTGTTTTACGGCCGTGGTCGCGGCATTGGCTGCTTGCCACAACAGTTGGAGATATTTGGCATGCTGGGATTTCAAACCGTGGATGTTGTTGTGACTTCCTTGTGTTGGTTGTGTCGATCTTTCACGTATTCACCGACGTCGGCTTGCTTAGGTTCACTTTCAGACCTCGTGTACTTGTTAAGTATGTGCTCTGATTCGGTGTTCATTACTGGAGTTGAACACATTGTGTCTCTGAGGAGTGAAAAAGCTGACAACCACTGGCGTGTGGAAGCTTGTGTACTTTTGATGATTTTCTGCATGATTGTCCGTCAGGGAGTGAAGCCGGTTGACCAGGCCCACCGTAGTCGCTATGTGCGCCTGTTGCAGCAGTTGCTAGCGCTGTGCAATATACTACATCGCTGTGAAAGTTCGTTTCTGCGGTATGCATCTCCTTCCCCGAGGTGTGGATGCCAAACAATACGAATTGGTGGGCTACTACCACATAAGAATGGAGACACACTAAACGTGTACTTTTTCAAGTTATACTCTCCTCCTCTTGCTGCGATTCTGTGCGAAAACATCATTGGCAACGATGATCTCAAAAGTGCACTGGCTGGGGTGGACATGGTGATGCTACTAAAATTGCTTTTTATTCGTGATGGCAGTCTCGATTGGACTTTGGAAACACCATGGTACAAGGATGGGACCTGGAATCATGTCGAATTCTCACGCATCGTATTGCAGCCTCTTAATACAGCTGCTGCTGCGTTTTTGGTAGAGACACCGCAAGGGGAGCATTGGGTTCACACAGCCACACCACAGCAGCAGGCGGGACTATGCACATTGCTCATGACTGCGTTGATAGTTCTTGAGCGAGAGCTTGCACCTCTGCGGGAGGAACCACTACCGTTCTTGCAAAAGTGTGCGTCACCGGACGCCAACTTATTTGAAGTGGGCGATAGATCTTTAAATGATCGGGTGAGACACCCCAAAGGGAGCCGCTCTACGCGGGACTACTTCAATGGCTGTCGGAAGCTGTTATCTTTGACTCAGCAAATGATCCTGCAACTAATAGGAGCGTCTGACAGTGGTAGTTGTGAGCGAATAACTCTGGCAACGCTTCAGTTGATGTCGTACGACGACGCTGCCATATTTCAACTTGTACCCTCCATGCTTCGTCTCGAATTAAAGGGTTTTGTGGAACTACTTCCGAAGAACCTTGAAGTATTTCTCCAACGTATTCGGGAGGCAAGCTCCTTTATGGATATCGTCATGTTCCTTGCCTTCACGGGAGCTGGCGCCATTAACCTCTTGTCTGCGCCGGCGTCACTGTCGATTCCATGGGCCTCAATGTATGAGGCGAGGGAGACTATGCTGTGCTTGTTGCCAAGTGCCATGACCACAACGGAGTTAGGTGATGAAATAAATGAAACCAGGATGATAGCGCGGAGTGCCTTTTTAAAGGAGTTTGTCGTTGCAAACATCCTGAACACACACAAAGAAGGGCACGATAAACTCACTGAAAAACTATCTATCTTGTTGGGTCTGAGTGACATCATTGGTGATATGCCACAGCTCGTCCTGCTAGACGCCGCGGCGAGGCAGCTCGCTCCAAATGATGAAGTGAACCGACTGCTGAACAGTGTGACAAGTCGACATCTCGCTGCTCGCAGCGCAGCAGCGAACTTCCGAATCATTATCGCCTGCTGCTTTAAGTACTACGCCGATGTGAAGAGGGAGATACCGAAGGACAACCGTCGTGAGGTGCAGCGGGTTGCGCTGAAGCTTCAGAGCATGGGGGGCGCCATGTCAGAGGAGTGCCGGCACTGGATACGGTCCATCGGCGTGAGGAGGGGTACGAGCGCCGACGAAGGGTGGGATGAAGAGGAGAAGGAAAAGGGGGGGACACGGTTACTTGAACATCGACTGGTGTCACACTCGAGCTGGTACACACCACATGATATCAGTGTGGCTGAGCGGAAGGTTTGCGAACGACTGAAGCTGCAGCGCCCCTCAGCAGAGGTGCTCGACTTCAACGCGCTTCTCCTCACGTTGGCACGTGCCGCCGCGGAGGGGAAATCGTCGCTTCCGAGTAGGCTACGCCGCATTGCTGCAGAGCTTCCATCCGTTGCAACTTCACTCAACGCAGTGCTCTAGTCGAGGCAGCACCCACTGGTGAGCACTGTGTAGGGTTGTCGCTATACGTTTATGTGTGTGGTTACTGATGCCTTCTGCATGAGAGTGTTTCCCACTTGCGTGGGGATTTTTAATTGGATTTTATTTTTTTTCGATTTGCTACTAACCCTTTGTTTCCGCATACATATGTATGTTTGTGTTTGTGTGTGTGTGTGTGTGTGTGCCTGTCTAGGTATGGAAGAGGTGCAGTTGACGGAGAGGGCTCGCGGTCGCGAGCGGCGTATCGGGATGCACTTCTCGCTCCTCGACGCCCACCTCGCGCAGTGCGACACCATGGCGACGTTCGAGCGTCCTGCGGNTGCGTGGGGATTTTTAATTGGATTTTATTTTTTTTCGATTTGCTACTAACCCTTTGTTTCCGCATACATATGTATGTTTGTGTTTGTGTTTGTGTGTGTGTGTGTGTGTGTGTGTGCCTGTCTAGGTATGGAAGAGGTGCAGTTGACGGAGAGGGCTCGCGATCGCGAGCGGCGTATCGGGATGCACTTCTCGCTCCTCGACGCCCACCTCGCGCAGTGCGACACCATGGCGACGTTCGAGCGTCCTGCGGTGTCGCTCAAAACGTTGTATTCGGACTTTGTGGTGCGGGAGCTGTCCCCACTGTACAACGGTGGTGCCCCGCTCGAGCTGGAGACCCTCCCAACAGTGGGGCGGCACGACAATGGCGCGTCCTCGGCGAGGAAGCGACGAAGGGAGATGTCGACGAATGAAGGAGAGGTGAATGGAGCGAGGAATACATGCGGGGCGAGCTCCGAGGTGGACGCACAACAGGAGGCCTTGCTGGATTGTGTGCAGCTGAAGTTTGCGTCCCTGGTGTCACCTGAGGAGGTGACGTCGCTCGTGGACTCATTGCGTAGCGGCGCACAGACAGTGACCCTCCGCAGTGCGCTGACAAAGGAGCAGCGCACGCAGGTACACGTGGCGGTACGGGAGACACTTGGAGCTACACATATTAGTCGCACGGAGGCCGGGGCTCTTGTGATAGAAAAGGCAACGTCAGCGATGAGGAGAGAGGCGGTGCGCCGTTCAAATCCGATACACACACGAAAGTTTTTACACTTCACGCTCTACAAGGAAAACATGGACAGTAACCGTGCACTGCGTGCTGTCGCCACGTCTCTTGGCATGTCAGTTCGGCAACTCCTCTTCAGTGGAACAAAAGACAAACGGGCAGTGACACTGCAGCGTGTTGCAGTGAGGGGCTTGTCTTCGGAGAAGCTGTCGGAAATTAACAATCGGTCGTTTGGCCCAGAGTGCAAAATAAGGGTCTGCGGCTTCAAGGAGATGGATGTTGGGCTGCGCCTCGGTGACACTTTGGGCAATCATTTTCTTATTGTGCTCCGTCTGCTCCCGGGGAGTCCGGAGGTATCACCGGATGTACTGCAAACTGCTCAGGAGGTTATAAGCCGCGTTGGGGTGGTGAACTACTACGGCTTTCAGCGCTTTGGCACAACGGAGGTACTGACGAGTGATGTCGGTGTGCAACTGCTAGCTGGAGAGTTTGAACAGGCTCTGCGCTTAATTTTCCATTCAAAGGCAATTGTTGCCCCGAATCTCCTTCCTGTGAAGGAGGCTCTCGAGCGACGGGCCTTTGACGAGGCGCTGAGGCTGGTACCACACTACTGCTTTCAAGAACGCGACATCTTAAAGCATTTAGCATGCTGCCCTAATGACTTCCTTGGTGCTCTTCGCGCAATACCGCGGACGCTGGGCATGCTATATTGTCACGCAGTACAGAGTTTGATTTGGAACGTTGTGGCATCTGATAGGTTGGCACTAAGTGTTAAGCCGCTCCCTGGTGATTTGGTACTGAAGTCTCGTTACACGTGCGTACAGGAGCGTGAAAGTCGGTCATGTGGCGACATTGATGATGCAAATGATGCAGATGCTGTATCACTGCTGAAGGAGGAGGGTTTGCCCGAGGTGGTGCGGCTCACAGAAGATGATGTTGCAAGTGGCCTTTTTCAGCTGACGGACATTCTCCTTCCGGTGCCTGGCCCCGACGAGCAGCTGCAGTACCCCAACATACCTCTATGCACACGTGACGCGTATGTCACGGCCCTTACATCGCGGGGAGCTGTGGGTCTCATGGACACCACAAACCCCCTTGTAAAGGTGTTTCACTACCACGGGGCATACCGTCCACTTGTGGTGCGACCAAAGAGGCTGAAGATACGGGTTGTGGACACTGCAGGACCACGGGAACCAATTATTCCCACCGATCTAGAGCTGCTGACTGGCGGTGCCATCTGCAATGGCACCGAGAAAGAAGCGGTGCCACAAAGCAGTTCCACAACGACACCATTGTGCAAAGCCATCGTGGCAGAGTTTTCTCTCCCGCCAGGGTCGTACGCCACCTGCGTGCTAAGGGAGTTCAGCACGTGCTGTTCGGAGGGATACCATGCAGCTGCAGTCCCAAGCGATGACGGCAGTGACGCGCCTGAAAGTGACATGGATGCTGCGGCGCGTGAAGGTGCTCTGGGTGATAGTGGTGCCGTTTAACAAGGGTGATGTGTGGTGATTTTTAATCGTGTAACCATTTAGTGGTATTGTTAAAAGTTGTTCTCTTCCACTATTTGTTGTCTCCCCACAGGATAACCGAATTGGCTGCGCAAATATCATTCCTCTTCCTTTCGTCCGGGCTTTTTTTCGAGTTGTGCCCTTCTTTGATACTTGAATACCACACGCTTGCAGGTGAAAAGGGGGGAGGCCGCTACAATGCTGTTGGACACGCTGCAGCGAGAGGTAGAGGCGTTGAGTGCAGAGCTGACGCGTCTGCGTCTCATGGTGTACCGCGTGACGGAAGCCACACGTGCATCACCCCCACATGCAGCGCGCACCCACCATATTGATGATGAATATTGCACATCAAGAAGCACTGTTTCTGGCGCTGCTGCAGAACCTCTCAACATGCCACCTCAACCACTAGAGGGCAATAGCAGCTCTAAGAACAACAACAATAGCAACGCCATGGACGTTATGACTCCGCAGTTGATGCAGCTATTGGAGCGTCTTTTGATCGCTGGCAAAGGCGCCGCTGTGGCATCGGCAGAACTACAGAAAGGGAACGATGCTAAGAACGCCAAACTTACTAATCGACACAAAGAGTCAAAGAAAAGACGACATAGGAAGAAAAAACATGGGCGCCGCCACCGCTCGACGTCGTCCTCATCATCTACTACATCATCATCATCATCATCGTCGTCATCATCGTCGACGTCCTCTAATCATACACAAGAAAGGGTGAAGAGGCGATCCCATAGGCATAGTGGAAAACAAAAAGACTTGTTGCGACACCAAGTCCGTATTGTTGATAAAGGCTGTGACATGCCATTGATAGAAACACAGCGAAGTGAAAAGATAGAGACCGTGGACGCGCAAAACAAGGCACCTATTGATACTTTTCGCTTCCAAGAGCAACAGGAACAGTCACCACCGTCACCATCACCCCTGCAGCAGGAGGAGGAGGAGGAAGAGGAGGAGGAGGTGCCCGCCCACACTGAAGGGTCTTGCAGTGCACGAAACATGGTCCGTTCGAGCCAAAGGATAGACGGTGCTCACAGTTTTTCTTCGAGCCACAGCAGAGATGCTGTGAAATGTGAAGAGGAAACACATTCCAATGAATGCGCAGGCCCTGGGGAAGAAGCGCATTTTAATAGCGTTCTGCGGTATGTGGAGGGCACACCTTCGAAAGAGGGAACATCTGGGTTGCCCATGGACGCAACCGGAAGTCGCCTTCCATCACTTTGCACTTCACAAGGTATGGCGGGGTCCTTTTTTGGCTCGCTTATGGCTACTGGCAATCAAGAGAGCTTTGTACGAGAGATGGGGGAACAGCAGCAGCAGCAGCAGCAGCGGACTTTCTCCCCTGCTGCAGTGTCTCTGCGGCAAAGTGACATGGAGGAGGATGCTTTTTCAGCCGACGAGAATGGTTATCCTCTTATCCACAACAACGCCCTACCTCGACAGAAGACTATGCCTGCTAGAGCGGCAACAACAACAGGAGTGAGAAGTAGTGATGATGCGCAAGCGAGGTTTATGACCATTAGATTAGGCCATACGTTGCCGTCGAGGCGACGCCCTCTACTGGAACGCCTTCGTGGAATGAGTGATGATTCTAGCGCGTCATCAAAGGAGAAGTTGTCGCAAGCATCCGACCAACCCGCCGCAATAGGCGCAGAGTTTCGTTCAATATCGTGCCACAGTGAGGTGGGTGACATCAATGGGACTCCAAGTGTCAATATAAGTATTGGAGGGAGAGGTTCAGTTGAGGTGGCCCACGCGAGTCCGTCGGGCTCCACGGGTGCTGGCTACGCTCTTAGCATGCTAGACGAGTATGACTTCAAACTGAGAAACTCTTTTGGTGGAAGTGAGAGTGCTGAGGTATTCGTTACCAGCAAATGTGACACGTCTTCCCCTATGCTTCACAAAAGCGACGCGTCGCATCATTTCTGACGCAGAAGTGAATGAGGGAATGAGCGGGGGGGGNTGGATGGGAGCCTCATTGTTCATTTGTGTATGTGTCCATCTGCGTGTAGCGTACATCATGCGTTTATCCCGTTCCTCTCTTCATCGGCTGCACCCAGCGTGCTGTTACACAATGCTGAACTTGCATGTGGTGTCGCTTTGCACCCAACGATTTATCGTTTGTTATCATCTCTCCTTTCAAGTCAGTACAGTGTGGGGAAATGAGCACTCGATTTAGGGCACTCTGCGAGGAGCTTGGTCGCTTGCAGGTGGGTATGATACGCCGTGAAGGGAGTCCTGCTCATCTCATTGAGGAGGCCATTCAAGCGATTCGAAGCAATCGAGACGCTGTCAAGCCCGTGCGGCAGAACCTGCCCTACGTTCCGCTGTTCATGCGTAGCTGTACGACTTTGCTTGCCCGCGCTGACCAAGATGCCGCACGCGAGGTCCTGGATTGCGCCGAACTTCTCGCCGAAGAGTACGTTGCTGGCAACCATGGTGACGTGAACGAGTCAGCGACGGTGCTTCGGTCATTGGTGCAGTTGTCCCGTCGGTGCGATATCGGTACGTGTCTGCAGAACAAAGGCGTTACTCCATCATCTTCACCACCAATGAAACCTTTGGTTGCTCTATCATTCAATAATACACTGCAAAAATGGCAGCAACACCAGATACGACCGTATACTTCGACCCTTTTAGCCCTACTTCGTGGCACCGATGCCGTCTACGGCGAAAAATTCCACTTTACCCCTGTAGGTGCTGACATCATGGGGCTTTTGCCTATAAAGGGTAAGGTGCAGATGGAGGCAAAGGTTCAAAAGTGCTTGCATTCGAGAGGTATACTTAGGGCTTTACGCGAAATGCAGTTGTCGAAGCTTGATGCCGGCATCTGCCTCAGCTGCCTTGCGGAAATTGGGATGTATGACGCGGAGCTGTGCAATGTGTGCTGTGAGGTGCTCTTTTCTACCCACGCACTCGTCACAAGTCAGCAGTTCGCACAGGTGATCTATAGTCTTGGTGTGCTTCAACACCGGCACATCCACCAGAAGTTCTTTTCTAGCACGATGGACTTCAAGAAGTGCAATGCGGAGGCTGTGCGTCAGCATGTGATGGGCCTTGCCATGCTTCGGCAACCGCCGCCTAATGAGCGTGCTCTCATGGACGGCATATTCTTGCATGCATTGCGCCCAACCGACCCACTGGAATTCGGTTCTTCACCAGATGACGCCCTGACACCGGAGTGGTTTGTGGCTGTAGGCCATGCGCTAACATGCCTTGACGTTGTGCATTACAAGTTTCGCCTGCTGATGGCGCGAACAGTCCGGAGGAGTATCGTTCACCTGACGACACAGCAACGCTGTAAATTGCTGTACGGTCTTGGGGGTGTCTCGATGGATACGGTACCGGAAGAACTGCGACGGTCATGGAAAGGCAAGGTCGTTCGAACGGTGGAGGTACTGACGGATCGGCTACAGTACGACGTTGATCCTGCCGATGGACCGTTTGTGATGAACGCGCTCCTTTTTGCTGGTGTCCGAGAGCACTCGATGATCCCCGTCCAGCCCGACCTGGCGTCCGGTGAGAACCCAGTGGAGGTGCTGCTCCGCACGTGGGCGACGTGCCCGAAGGAGCGCGTTCTTCATCTGACAGAGCAGATACGCCCCCGTCACTTGGGAAGTGAACCGACAAGGACTCTGTCACATGTGTTCACCGTTATTGCGAACAATGGCAGTGCTTCTCCCATTGATTCATACCGATTTGGACCGTTGTGCGATGCTGTGAAGAGTCATGGTGGTGAAATGAATCTGGAAGAGGCTCTGAACACAATTGGGGCCATTCAACGCATCGGCATTGGAGGGCGATACAGAGACGCCCTGATGACGTTGCTGGAGAATCTGTGGCGGCAGCGACATGACATGACACCGGAACAACAAACCCGGTGCTGCCGCTTGATGGAAGGGCTGGGGCACTTGGACATGGCGGTGGAGTTGCTTGAGTACATGACCTCTGCGTAAAGGAGGGAAGCCACCAACCCCAAGGGAAGTGAGGGTGATGGTTGTGAGGGACATACGAGAGTAGTGACGAAAAGAAATTGGGATGTGGTCGTGCCGATACGAATTTGTGATGTCCTATTGTGGTAGTTTCTCTTGCTTATTTTTCTCCTCCTAATTTGTGTTACTTCCCATTTCAACTGGAAGCCTCCTAACAGTAAAAAAAAAAAAAGAACTAAGGGAGCCAAGGCAACGTCCAATATGTCTGGAAGAGCAACTGGGGCACCTCTGAGCGAGGTGGCGAGTACTTTTGGCACCGGGAACAGTGACCCTGACGTCGCCCCATTGCACGCGGAAGAATCAAGGGATGCACTCTATGTCCACCCCGAGGCACGCACCCTGTTCAATAAGTTCCCGTGCCTCCGCTACGTTCCACTGTTCGGAACTGCGACGGAGGGATACGGGCCCAAAGCGGTTCTTTCACTAGCCATGTCGTACTTTCTATGCAAAGGTTTGGCAGACTATTTTGTTCGACAGTCCCTTTATGCAATGTTCACACGACGTTTCGGTGTGGATGGCATGACTTACCAGCGGTTGGCGAATGTGGGTGGGATGGGTTGGTCGATCAAGCCGCTGACGGCGGTGGTGAGTGACATGTTTCCATTCTTTGGGTATAGCAAGCGATGGTATATGTTTGTCTCCTGCATTGTAGGCTCCGCCGTTTCCCTCGGTTTTGGTCTCCTGCCTCCTGTTTCTGGAAGTGCCCAATTGGGCGCAGGTCTGGTGTTCGTGACTTGTTTCACGAAGGCGAACGTGGACATCCTGTTGGAGGGTCACTACAGCCGCATGATGCGTCGTCTGCCTGGGCCCGGACCTGCGCTTGTGAGCTGGATTTGGTGGTTCGTCATAGCTGGATCGCTGGTATCTGTCTCGGTCGTAGGTCCTTTGGGTGATGCTGGCTATCCACAAATTGCCTCCTTTCTCGCCACGGGGCTGCAGCTTTTAACGTGCGTTTTCTTTATTTTTAACTGGGTGGGTGAGCTTCCTAACCGCGTGGAGCGCCTGGAAGATGCTCGCGTTCTTTACGAAGAGAATTTGAAGGAGCAAGCGGCTTCTGCGGAGGTCGTGGCCAAAACAGTCTCAGAGAATGGAAGTGATGGTGATGCTGAGCCGTATTCCCTTGATGATGCAGTCATGGTGGGCTATGATACTTCGACATACCACGACGTACCTGAAAATGCACTTCTTCCGTTTGAATTTGTGGAGCCTCGTTCATGTTGCTGCGGAGTGTTTGAAATCAATGACGAGGTCCGCCGTCGCAACCTGCGTGTGACAGTGTACTCTCTGCTGATGGTGTGCTGTGTCATCAGTGTCGCTGCCGTCTCGATCGCCGGAACCAGGGACCAACTTCTGTACACCGCCATTGCGGTCTCCGTTGCACACTGTTGTTGCAATTTTTATGCATTACCACTGATTGTTGCGAAGGCTAACTTGTTCGGTTACTTGCAGAAGGCATCAGCTTTGCAATTCCCCGGATCAATTACGAGTTTTTATACGGCGCAACCTGACTGCGTTCCTGATGGACCGCACTTCAACCTCTTCTTTTACCAGACAGTGGGAGGATTGATTGGCAATTTCGCTTCCATTGTCGGTATTGTGATGTTCAACTACGTCTTCTCCAAGCGGACATACCGGATGACCTTCGTTGTAACCGTTCTTCTTGGTATCGTGGCATCATTCTTTGATCTCATCATTGTGATGCGTTGGAACAGCCCGAGGGTCAGCGATCATGCGGTGTATATTCTGGGTGATGCTATTGTTTCCGAGGTGATTACGATGCTGAACTGGATGCCCATGATTGTGCTGCTCTCACAGCTGTGCCCCAGAGGAAGTGAGAGTACAGTGTACGCCATTCTCGCCGCCTCCGCTAACCTTGGACAATCCATGGCCTCCATCATTGGCTCCCTGATCATGGAGTACAAGTTGCCAGTGGCGACGGAGGTTCCGTGCGACTTCTCTAACTTGCGCTGGCACATCATTATTGGTGGTTTTCTGGCCCCGTTGGTGCAGATACCCCTCACGTTCCTCCTCATTCCCTCTGCTCGCATGTGTGATAGGCTCCAGATTGACGGTACATCAGTGAAACGGGAGAAAGACACCCCGATGGAGCCAATCTCCGCCGAGGATGAGCCACAGACGACGGCAGGAGAAGCGAATGACAAGCGAGAAGAATAATGCGGTACACCGAAAAATATCTTCCCGGATTTGAAAGGCGTGTCCCTCCGCGTACCAGTGATTGTCATTGAAGAATTTTCTGTTCCCTTTCCCCTCCCTTATCTATGCCTTATGTTTTTTTCTTTCTCTCCCCCTCTCTCTTTTCCGATATCAGCTTTTACCTTTACTGCGTCGCGCTACCTGCTGTTGTGCATTCATTATTTCCTGTGAAGAGAAAAGACCAGCGCAGATAAAGGCAGGGCTTGTTGGTTCCCCACTGTTTTGTTTGTATGTTCGGATTTCTCTTTCCTCCCTCTTCGAGCGCCCAAACGCATGCCTGATGCTGTGTATTGTTGTACAATTATCCACATGCACGTCTACAGATTGACAAAACCTTTTTACAGCCTCCTTTCAAAGTTATGTTGTCGCAGCAACTTGATTGCTGATTTTTTTTTAAAATTTGTTCTTGTCCAGTTTTCCACACATTCCTCTCTCTCGCTCTCTCACGCGCATGACTTGTGCACGTCTCATTCTTTTTGGTTCGGTGGGAATAGGCCTCTGCTGTACACCCTTTTTTGGGGAGGGGCCGTGGTGCAAGAAGAGAAGGTGATCTTCGCAGAAGGTTAAACCCGCTATGGGGTAACAAACCAAGGAAGAACGAGAAGGAATAGCTAATAATATTTTTATGTGGTGTTTTCGAACTTTCTCGCGAAGGGCGCGTAAGAGCCCTTCCCCCTATTGTTGTAGTTATAAGGAAAACAGAAAAGGAGTGTGCTCTTGAGGAAATCCATGTAACGCGCTTCTAAGAAAACAGAAAACTATTGGGGTTTGGTAAGTGTATGTGTGGTCTCTGTGTGAGACGCGTGTGCGCCTAAGAGGATATGGGTGGCATGGAGCTCTGCCTCTTCAATGTGCTTTGTATCTCTTTCGTTTTTGTGTTTTGAATCTTTCTTTGGTAAGTGTTGCGTGAGTGCAAGGACCGAGGATTATTTTAGTCTGCATCCGCGAAAGAAGAGGGTCGCGAGATGGGAAAGCGAACAAAGAAGGCACCAAAGCAGAAACGCAAGCTTGCAATGGCTGACCGTCCCAGAAAACTAACAAAGAAGGGCAAAGTGAAGCGAAAGCGTGGCGACCTCAGTATGATTCACAGCCGCGATGTTAGCTTCTCGGTAAAGCAGAAGAAAGGAGGAAAATGGGTCAAGACGGGTGAGAGACGCTGCAACATTCACACTGTGTGCAACTGCGTGAGCCGCACGGACCCTTCGAAGATGACGCGTGTAACGAACCGATAAACTGCCAGTTGGGCAAGTCGAGATGCTCTATCTACTTGTTTCGTGCTAGTTTGCAGCACTGTGAAAAGCCAAGGGTAGCTGAAATCTGAAGAGCCTGTGCTTTTTTTTGGGGCGGGGGGCGGGTCTTATGAAATTTCACGCACTGAGGGAGTAAAGCAATGCACATGAATGCCGAACCGTCAAACTGAGTAAACCGCAAGCGCAGGAAAACGTGACAGTGAACCATGCGAAGGAGATGCTGTAGGGGTCGTGCAGTGGCATATCATGTTATTTTCTTTTCGTTTTTTTTTTTTTGTTGTAGGTGTTGTAGGTGCAGGTGGAAGGGTAGGGGGAGGGGGATGTGCGCGGGAAGAGCCGTCAAGGATCCCGTGCTGGAGTCTCTATTCCACAGCATTCTAGGTGAGCAGGAAGAGCGCGAGGGTGGAGGTGGCGTTGTTTTGGGCTTGCCGCAGCTGGAGACCCTCGCAGAGATGATCGGGGTGTCGTTGGATGATAGCTCAATGTACCGTCTCGCTTGGAGCTGGTCATGCCAAACACCACTTGGCATTACAAAGAGTGAATTCATGAATGGCATGCAACTCCTAAGCTCTTCCATGAAGAAGGCCAAATCCACTCTGATGGCTCAGAGGTCGTTGATAAAGGCTACGAGCAAAGAGTTCGAACCGTATCTCTCTGCTATACGGAACCACATTGATGCGGTAGATGTTGAACTGCACAATGACTCAGGTCAATTCAGGCGGTTCTACCGCTTTATTTTTAGGTGGGTAAGGGCACCCGAAACAACGGCGAGAAACTTAGGCGAGATGGGAATGAATGTTGATACAGCAGTAGAGCTCTGGCGTATGTTATTCCCTGAGTATGGGCAATTCTCTCATCTGGACGATTGGATAACGTTCTGCACGACGAAGGAACTATTTCGTCGCGAGGCCGTAAGCCGAGATCTATGGGAGCAGCTACTGGAATTTACTGCGTTGACACGCTACGACACATACGATGTGAATGATGCATGGCCAAGTGCCATTGACGACTTCGTCGAGCACTTTAAGGCGACACGGGGGAAACCTAAGACGGAGGACTGAGTGCACCTTCCATACAACGACGAAGGTGGGGGAAGGAGAGGAGGATAGCATGGCCAGTCGTTACCATTATCTGGCAGCTTTTCTTCCGTTTTTGAATGAGGCGATGTGCGTCTATTGGAGTGGGGAAAGGACTGAGTTGCCCAAAGGGGGACACTGAAAAATAAAAAAAATACTCTAACAGACCTTCAAATGTTCTTCCCGCTAGGGCCGTTCTCAGGCGGGGGATTTTGGCCTGTTCTTATCAGTTTTTTTTCTTGTGTGCTGTGGAGTAGTGTGTGAAGGGTTGGAGCCCCCCTCGCAGTTTGCCCTGAGCAAAAAGAAAAAAAGCAAAACAAAATTATCATACTGCTATCTCTGCGGAGAGTGTTTTGGACTGTGAAATGTCTGGCTTTTGAGTTGCCCCTTTTTTTCTGATATCTCTCCTCCTCGACTATTTTTTTTTGCTCCCTTTGTTGCTGCACTTTTCTCTTCGCTGTAGTATCACGACTCGCCTCCGTGGCATCACACAGTCCGTGTTGTGGGGTGGGCGCAGGCGTGACGGTTGGACATCGGCAAGGCTTGGACTTACGCCATGGAAAAGTCCGGCCGCAACGAGGAGGATCTCTCGCTCCTTTCGTCATCCTCCACACTTCGAGATGAGAGGCCTTGTATGCAGAGCGATGGAGGCTCAGGTGCGCCCTCCTTCGCAACGGCGTGGTCGCCCAATTCGCTGTCTGGTTTTTTTCGAAGAGGCGGCGCGGCGCCGTCGTTTTTTTTTACTCGTGAAGCGCAGCTTAGTGGTAGCGCTAATGGCGATGATGATGATGACGGTGGTGTTGGTGGTGGTGGTGGCGGTGGTGGTGATGGCAGCAACAATGGCAGCAGTAAATCCCCGGTTAGTGCGTGCGTAGTTGTTGTGGGGGATTCTTGCAGTGGGCGCACAACCATCGCTGCAACTGCCGCCAAGGCTGCATCGCGCCTACGCTCTGCGATGGATTATCATTTTGCGAGTTCTGGTTCCTCCATGACCTATGCTTACCGTTCCTCCGTGTCAAAGAGGAAGGAGTGCTTGCTGCTGAATGTTGTTGATGGGGGACCCCTGCCGCTGCGAGGTGGTGCAAGTCGCCGTTTTTTGCCACGCTGTGACGCTATTATCGTTACTTTCGCTTTAACTGGTATTAAGCAAAAGCGACCAGGTGCAAAAAAGTTTTTATCTTTGATTGGAAGCAGCCGAAGTGGCAAAGAGGGTCCGCCTGTAATTATACACCCTAAAGACATTGCACTTCTGTATGATCTGCTTTCAATGGTTGTTGCGCGGGTAACCCCTGGTGTTTGCTCTCCCAAGATAATCCTGGTGGGTACGCACAAGGATTTATTGACGGATCAATCACCGAGTAGTGTGGAGCTTCTCCTAAAGGAATTACGCTCGATCTGCAGTGGTTTCTTGGATACGTTTCAGAAAGCACCGGTGTTAAACTCCCTCTTCGCTGTGAGTACACTAGATGGCTCTTGCATCCCTGAGAATCGAGGTGGCCCGAACACAGTAGCTGCAATGTGGAACTTTATTTGCGATGTCGCCTTGAAAGAAGCCGCGACGCGGGGGAACTCGATGCAAACTCAAATAGAGTTTAACAGGCCTTTCTTTCAGGACTCATTCTCTTCTTTTACCGGTGTGGTGCGTAATGCCCCCGATATGGGAGACGAACGAGTTTCAGCAAGATGGGGGATGCCTCATGATAGTAAAGATACTCTCTCTGGAAAGAGCACAAATGTTTCACCCTCAGCCGATTCTCTGATGGACCGAGTCCATGCAAAACTCTTACGTCTTATTTTTCACGTGAAGGCTGAACGCAAGACGGTTTTTATATACTTGAATGTGCTGTGGAGGCTGATGTATTCTTTGGGGTTTCCCAGTAAGAAACATTTCTTGACGGTTTTACAACAATTACAACTTGCTGGTGAATTGGTTTTATTTCACCAGCGGCCAAATGGTCTTTCAACACAAAATGTGTGCATTTGTCTCCAGCCACATCTTATTGAGCGTGTCCAGGCGACGGTGTTCCTGTATGCGAGCTACGTCAACTATCGATGTGAGGAGCACGGCAGGTTGCTGACAGATGTTAACTTGGAGGCATGTGGACGGTGCGACCGTAACCGAGATGTTTCACGTGGTGTGTTTCCACAAAAACTATTGCTTGAACTCGCTCGGAGGCTCAAACTTGCCTGCTCACCATCTGAGGCTGCAGTGACATTTGGAATGCTACTTTTGCTTTCTGATACGGCTTTCATGAGACGCTGTCGTGTACAATCCCTGATGAGCGTGGCGGCCATTCCCTCATTCATATCGCCACCTACCGAGGACGGTCTTGGGTCCTCATCCGCGTTGCCTGTCAATTATGTGGATCCCAGCATGACGGGGGGTTCATCGGAGAACCTCAACAATGGACTGGAGAGGTCACCACTGCTACCTTACGTACCGCTGCGAGGGGAGGGTTCGTCAATGGAGTATGTTGTCCCCAGCTTAATACGAGTTAAGTGTCCTGGTGAGGTAATCAATTGCGTGCGTCGCCTTGTCTCCGCATCGAGAAGTGTGAGGGAGGGAAGGTGGGGTCATTCTATGCCACGTCTTCTTGCGCTGCGTGGATGCCCTCCGGATTTCTTTCCAATGCTCACAAACCGCTTGCATCGTTACCTGGAGCCATCTTCTCCCATCTTTTCCCAGTCTCTTTGGCTAAGCGCTGCGGCGTCGGCCGGGCAGCCCGCTCCATTCCTGCGGATGTTCATCTGCCTCACGAATGATGAATGGACCAATTGTGCTGCGGATGATTGCCCGGAAGGTGGAGTGTCACTCCTTGAGCTCAACGCTTTTTCCGAGGTTGGCTACCTGCCGCTGATGCTGTTCGTTGACGACATCACGCGTCGGGTGGCAGCGCTCGTTCGCCACGAATTCCCGGGGATGCTCACCTGGACGCTGTCTAATATTCCCAAAAGTAAGAGTTCTTTGTCTAGTGACGGCGCTTACACCACTGGGGTGCTAAAAGGAATGGAAAAGCTCTCTGAAGTGGTAACAGTGCGGGACTTGGACAGCTTTTTTCATTCTCTTGACTATTAAGCAGGCGCATAGCCTTTGATGTGTGCCTGTGTGTGTGTTGGTGAGAAGAGCTTGTGAGTGAAAGGATCCGTTGTTGGCATACCTTTCGCGTGACAAATGAATGATACTATGTGTTTCCTTCGCCTTGTGTGACATTCTTTATATCTAATGAGCTGAAATATTTCGCTCTCTCTCTCTCTCTCTATATATATATATATATATATATATATGTTCCCATTCTATTTTCCTCCTCTTCTTCAAGAAGGCGGATACGGTGGCGTGCTTTTTTTTTTCTTTCCTGCTACCACCTTGATCTGCATTTCTACATGTCAAAGACATTGTGTGACGTGTTCCCAGACCCAGATGACGCTGTCTGCAGCTCGTTTCTCCGAACCACCGACGTCTCTGACAAGACCTGGCGCGATGTTGGCCTCATAGCAGATTCCGATGATCAGACGTTTTGGACAGTTGTTGCCAACCATAGGAACCTGTCGCTCGCGCTCAGTAACCTCATTGCTGCTATTGATGCGGCGCACGCCTCCGCTTTTCGCCGTCAAATAAAGCGCGACGATGAGCTTTCCCTCATAGTTCTTCTTGTTCGACTTGTGACCACCACGTCGGTCGTGCTGAGTGTCGGTGTCAGTATTACGGATGTGGCAAGACGGCTTGGAGAGCTTATTACTCCTCCTTTACTGATGCCTACATCGCTCATAATATTGCGTCATAGCGGGCCTATTGCATCTGCGACAATTACATCACTGATTCTTCAGAACCCTGGATATCTCTGTGCCATGCCAAGTACTGCTTCTTCTTGGTGCGATGTTACATCTCGTTTGGCTGTCCGCTGCGTGAGGGAAATGTCGAGAGGGAGACACCAGCGTCTCGCAGGCGACGTGATTCCGCTTTTCGAGCAGGTATACCGACATGTGAAACAACTGTGGGCCATTATGCATTGCTCCCCATTTCTCGCCGATTACGTACACTTGTCGCGCATGCTTCAGTATTTGCGAGTCGTAGTGGACTTGCTTTCACCAATTCTTCAGCATTTTATACTGACATGTGGTGGAATCACAAATCGCCGTGAACAGCTTTCAAAGGCAAATTCTGCTATTGTAAATGCTGCCTTGAATACCGCATCGGTGCTTGTGTTGTTCCGTACATATAACAAGGCTTCTGGCCAGGTCAGATCTCACTGCGTTGAGCGTGTTGTGAGATCCACCTACGAGGCCCTCACAACTTACATCACACAGAAGGTCCAAGGCTCCCCGTCCTTGCTGTTGTCGAACACCCGGCGGACGCTGACAATGATAATTCACGAGCTCGTGCCCCCACGGAAGGAAGTGGATGACTTGGAAGTGGGTAAAGTGTTGCAACGTTTAAGTAGCCCAGTTCCAGATAGCACGGATTTCATTGATGGCTTTGCTGGTGTTCGTCCTCGCTATTTTGAGTTGCTTCTGCTTGAGTTAGTACACCAGGGGCTCCATATTGACATGCTGCTGAAGAATAAGTTTATTACCGCACTCGAGGCTGAGGAACTTGGGGCGTCGGAGCGGAGCATCACGCTGGCAATTGTCGGCATCATCGAAGGAAGCGTCGGAAACACTGCAACTGAGGCGGTATGCACCCCTAGCAACACTGACAACGCAGTGTCATCAGCTCTGGAAACCCCACCTGTCACTGATGATCCTTTGGTAAAGGTTGTGCTGGAGGTTATGCCGCACTTCAACGTACAGGGTATCCTCGCGGCTTTGCGGTATTACAATAACGATGTGGAGCACTTTATTCTTGACGCTTCGATGGATAACATTGTCCCGCATATTCTGGAACAACTGACAGAGCCATCACCCCACACATTGTCGGGGCTGCCGTCTGCTCATCAAACAGACGCGCAGCCGAGCGAGGCGGGTGGAGCTGCCAACACCATCATCACTCCCACCGCTGCCACTGCCGCCGCCCAACACACTCTCACCTCGGCGGACTACAATGACGAGCTTGGTGAGGGGGACCTGAACCTATTTATCGGCTGCGATTTGTATGAGGCGATCAACGGCGATAGTAATGGTGCCAAGGATGAGAACAACGATGATCACATTTCTGGTAACGATATGCTGGACGCTATGGCGTACGCCACACACCACCCCGACGACCACCGCGGCGGGGCAGAAATGTTCGAGGTGGATGAAGCAATGCGCGAGAAGATACGCATGTTGACGGAGATGATGTACGAGGACGAGTATGATGACGCCCAAGAAGCCGGGGAGGTTCGCGGCTACGAGACTCGTAGAGGTGCGACAGATTCTGACATGTCCCTTTCGGGTGATGATGATAACACAATCACAGATGGCGCCAATGATAATGCACTGATGGATGCACCTCTTGCAGCGGCGGGAACGCCTTCACGCCACCACCGAACGGAGTACGACGAAAAGAAATTTCATGAGGCACGATCTAAACAGCGGGAAAAGAATGTGAATGCTGCAAAGGAGGCGCGCACAAAGACACCGGCGTACACAAAAAAGAATAAAACAGTTCGGAAAAAAATGCAGGATAAAATGGCGTTCACACGAGCTGTGAAGAAGGGCAAAGTGGAGTTTTGAGCTGCTGCCTTTGAAGGCGTTTCAACACTGTGTTTTGTCTGTTCCCCCCCCCCNTCACTGTTTCTGCTACTTGAGACAGTATCAGGTCTTTATTCTTCCACGCCCTCCTTGTCGTGTGTCGATGTGCTCGTTTATTCGCGGTTCTTTTTTTTCCCCCCTTTCGTATCTCTTGGCTTGCTTTTTATCGAAAAGTGGCCGGTGATGTGGCAGCGTCTGAGAGGCAACATTTTGACCTCGACAACGGTGCGGCCGGAAGCACCGAGGCTCGCATCGAGTACGGCCCTTGCAGAGCAAAAAGCAGGTCTGCGGAACCTGCACCAGTATCCTACTGCTCGATACAAGAGTTTGGTGAAGGACCGCCGTCGCTTTGCAAGAAATTGGTGGCTGACTGCTGGCAACAACTACGAGTTGGTTCACGAAGTAGGACACGAGCGAGAGGCCACTGAGTGCTTCGCAGAATACGCCCAGGATTCAAGTAACGATGTTTATCTCTTTTCTACCAACAGACTGGATGATCTTCCCCCGCGGGATAGACTTAACGCTATCGTCGGGATCATGCGGTCGCGCTGGAAGGTGAATGATGGTAACCGAGGTTTTGACAAGGCAAAACTGCTTCTCCAGGCTTTGGAGTGTTTTGCCGAAATGCGCTTATCTGGTCAGATCAAGGAGTTTGATGAGCTCCCGGAGCCGGACCAAGACACTTTCTTGCAGTACGTCGAAGGTTGCTCTCAGTTTGCGCAGGCGTGCTCCCACTCACATCCCAATGCTGCTGGAATTTTGCTCCGTGCCGCTCAGATATGCGAAGAGATGCGGTGTCCTGGAAAACGTGATGAAATGATTCATGTGGCTGAAGTTGCGGCCAAACGCCTGGACCGTGCATACTCGTTCAGTCGTCCACACGACGTGCTGAAGCCGATGCCGCCGTCACTGACTGATAATGAGGCCAAATTATGGTACAAAAGCACCAAGGAACTCGAGAACCGCTTTAAGGATAGGGCACCGCATGCTCTGGAAAAACGACGTCCTCCAGAATACATGCGCATTCATCAAGGCAAGCGGCAGTACCTTCCCAAGATGAAGGAGGGTAACAAGTATTTGGAGATGTTGAAATCTCCTGCGCGACCCGAGGTTGACAAATGGACATCGAACTCGGTGTAGTGTTTCGCTTTTTTTCCCCTTTTTTTTATTCGGGAATTTTTTTTTCCTCCTTTGCTTTGCCCATCATGAGCGTTCAGCTTTGAAGGAAAGACTGGCTTTGCCGAATACGTGAGTATTCTCATCTGCTTTCTTCGTTCCTTCTTCCTTACATGGGATACACACTTGCTTTGCACCTACTACGTTAGCGACGTGAACAGGCGCTAAACGGAAGGGTTAACGTCTTGTTACCATGTCGCACTACAACACCGGGATTGAGAATATCCCGTCGCTGTTTGACCTGGCGAGCGCCATGACCGGCTTCATCTCGGACTTCGCGCAGCTCGTGTTGGGTTCCACGCAGACCTCTTTCAAGGCGGCTGCGCTGGAGGATGATGACCCTGGCAGGTATGACCCGGCGACGCGGAGTTGGGAAGGAACCGATGGGATGCACTACCGCGTCCCACTTTACCCCATCCCTAGCGAGCGTCACACGCGTGATAAGACACGGAACATCAAAGTACTCATGGATAACTGCCGCCAACTTTGTGTTAATGATGAGTTACCCAGTACGAAAGAGGAGATGCAATTCTGGACGGCGTATCGGTTCATGAAGTATCAGATGTACTTGGCACCTACTTGTATCATCATGCCGCCTCTGTACATAATGTGGCGGATGTTCCATGACCGCATCCCTCGTCCAATGCGGGGTCGAACAATTCCCATCACTCTCTCGCTTGCTCTAGCAGAGCAGTGGGCAGAGGCGACCTACCCAGGACATCAGCTCCTGTCAACGGCTCTGAGGGCAAAAACACCAATGGGTGATGCCGCAAGAGCAGAATGGCTGCGGCTTCAGCCCATTGACATGCCTTTTTACATCTACACCGCTTACCAGTTCCAGCATTTTTTTGGGAACACACCAGTGGAGCTCCAGTTTGGTGGAGACGTCGCTTCGCTTTGCAATTAGCATGCACTTCTAAATGAGCTGTTCTCCGTGAAACTGTGGGATGTTTCGTTGTTGTGTGCATCTGGCCAGGGCTATTGTTATATGGCGATGTGCTCATTTTATCATGCAGGGCGAAAAGATTCTTTTTCACTTCTTTCTTTTTGGTTTTTATTTTTAAAGATGGCAAAAATGCTCCGCATATTTCGCTACCGCAAAGAAAACGGTGGGCAAGATGGTAGATTGACTGCTTTTTTGCGTGATGCCAAAGGCCAGCTGAGACTGTTTTCAATAGCAATGCTGATGCTGTGCGTTGCAACCTTTGTTGTTGTTGTCTCGTTTTGCTTCTACCCCGGTAACTCATCAGATACTTCCGAGGTGGTACCGCACCCACTTTCACGGACGCAGGAAAGAAAACAGGCACATAAGTCCTCCGCCTCTGTAGATTCAGGTGCGCGGTTTTGGCTAAGTGGATCATGGGGTAGCGTCTTGCGCGTGCCAGATGGATGCTGGGTGCATCCCCGTTTTGAAAGTTTTGCGTTTGCATGCCAACGAAAAGAAACAGGTAATCAGTCTCTGGTCGTCACGATGGAGTTAATGCCGCTCTTGATTTTGCATAAGGTTTATTGTCTTGCTTGTGACACACTGTTCCAAAGATTGACAGGGGTGCGTGTAGTATCTGATGAGTTAAACTCACGGAGCCATACAATAGAGAAACGGGGCGTACAAATTGTGGAAGTTACGCTGCCCCCAATCTCGGTGTCGTGCAGAATGTATGGGGGTAATGAAAAAGATGAATGGGGAATTCAAATAAATGGTCAGAATCCATCAACTTGTTTAGTTCGGTTCGATATACTTGCTTCACTTAAGGTTAAAGACGAGAGGGTGGTACATTCTGTTCCACCCATCTGCTTTGCTGCCGTTGGCGACTGGGGGTCTCCAAAGTCGGATCAGGCCATCGTCATTAACCAACTCACCCGACTGATGCAGCGCCATTGGGTGAAATTCATTGTTTCTACGGGGGATAATTTCTACCCGAGGGGAGTCCGTTCAACTCGGGACTCGGCATGGGTGAACACTTTTGAGCGTCCTTTCTCAGATACAAGATTCCATAGGCTGCCGTTTCTTATTTCTGTGGGAAACCACGACTTAGGAGGGAAGGTGTCGGCGCAGGTGATGTACGGGAAGGCGAACGCAAGATGGTTCTTTCCGGCACCTTACTTTGGCGTCACCATCCCTCTCATTAATCAGTGCGAGGAACCGAAGGCAGCGACCGGGAGTGGTGGTCCGGTAGAAGAAGCCGCGGCGTCATGTGTGGCTGACTTGCTAGACGTTTTTGTCATGAATAGCTATGATGACCGGTCGTGGGGACAGCAAGTGCGGAGTGGAGAGGCGTTCTTCGCCTCTTGCTCCAAGGATGCACGGCAACACCGCTGGCGGTTAGTGGTGAATCATGAGGCCCTTTTTTCAGGGGGGTTACACGGAGTCTTCCGATCACGTAACTCGCCGTTTCGTGAGCGTATGTTGCCATTTGTTGCTCAGCACCAAATCCATATGTACCTCAACGGGGATGATCATCTGCTGGAGGTGCACCACTTTAATGGGACGGATTTTTTCACCACTGGGGCTGGTGGTGGCTCTTTGCGCTACCAGAGCGAGAAAAGGTTTCCGACGACTGTGTGGCGCCCCGAAATGGTGCCCGGTATGAATGGAGACGGAGAGAGGTACGTGCTGGGGCCCACGCTGCACTGTATGTCACCATTCTCGGATGTGCTAACGACAGTGTTGTACAATGTTAGTGAGCAACATCAGGAGGAAGTATACCGTCACACCACGCGTTACAAGCGAGGAGGTTAGTTGGTGTAATTACTGTGTTCATTTGCGTTTTGTTTGTCTCTGTATGTCTGTCTGTTTGCCTGCTTGTGCCTCTGTGTGTGTGTTTTTGCGAGTGCGAGAGTCCCTTCTGTGTTTAGGGCATCAATTTTTGCTTTCTGTTTTTTTTTTGTTTTTCTTCATTGGATGGGGTTCTGAGCACGGGGACAGGAGAGACGTAGGGTGGGCGAGTGACAAGAGGAGACGTGGCACCTTTTTTCCTTTGGTGCTTCGCTATTCGTTCTGTTCTGGGGCAGACACATTGGAAAACCTCTCCTCTTTATTAAATAAAAGAACCGACCACATGCCGAGTTGCCAGCCGGCTCCCATGCAGCTGCCGGTGGCAGAGGCGCGCGAGGCCATTGTGCGCATGATCCGGCGCCACAATACCGTCATCATTGTTGGCGAGACAGGCTCTGGCAAAACGACGCAGATACCGCAGTACGTGTGGGATGACATTGTGTCAAGAGAGCCACCTGGGCGGGGTGGCATCGTGGGCTGCACGCAGCCTCGACGTGTGGCGGCCGTCAGCATCGCCCGCCATGTGGCGGCGCAACGCGGGGGCCGTGTGGGTGGCGAAGTAGCGTACGCCGTGCGCTTTGACGACACATGCGGCCCACAGACTCGAGTGAAGTACATGACAGACGGTATACTACTACGCGAAATCCAAGCCGATCCAGACCTAACACGTTACCGCTGTTTGATTCTCGACGAGGCTCACGAGCGGACGCTGCATGGCGATGTACTCTTTGGTTTTTTGAAGGACATTGCCCGGCGAAGGAAAGGGACGCTGAGCATTGTCGTAATGTCCGCCACCCTTAACGCGGAACATTTCTCCAAATTCTGGTGGAATGCTCCAATTGGGGTTGTACACGGCCGCACATACCCTGTCACTATTTACCACACGGTGGAGCCACAGGCCGACTACGTTGAGGCTGCCGTGAGCGCCCTTCTGCAGATTCATGAGAAGGAGGAGCCGGGAGATGTGCTGTGCTTTCTTACTGGTCAGGAAGAGATTGAGGACGCAAAGCGTATTCTTGAGCAACGGATAAAGCTGCTGCCGAATCACGTGCGAGACTTTCTCGTCCTGACGCTTTACTCTGCCATGCCATACGAGCAGCAGCTTGCGGTGTTCGAGCCCACTCCGTCTGGAAAGCGCAAAATCATTCTCGCAACTAACATTGCAGAGACGTCTATCACGGTCGAGGGTATCAAGTATGTGGTGGACAGCGGTGTGGTCAAGGCAAAGCACTTCAACAGCAAGACGGGGATGGAGGTGCTGTCTGAGGTGGACGTCAGTCGCGCGCAAGCGACGCAGCGCACAGGGCGTGCGGGGCGTATGGAAGCTGGCAAGTGCTTTCGCCTCTACACAGCGCAAGCCTTTGAGTCGTTGGCGGAGAACACCGTGCCGGAGATCCAGCGGAGCTCGCTCATCAGCGTGGTGCTGCAGATGAAGAGTCTTCGCATTGAGCGAATTATGGACTTCGAGTTCATGGACGCACCAAATCCACGCGGTGTTGCGAAGGCGGAGGAGACGTTGATGCTCCTCGGCGCGCTGGATCGTCAGGGCCGAATCACGCCACTGGGGATGCGCTTGACGGATTTCCCCATTGATCCGATGGCTGCGATGGTGTTGTTAGCAGGGAAGGCGCTTGGTGTGGCGCGTGACGCGGTGGTGGCGATTGCTATGACGAGCACAGAGAATCTGTTCGTCACTTCGCGCGAGATGAAGGGCGGTGCTGACAGATGCAAGGCGGCGTTTGCCAAGGCGGCTGGTGACCACGCAACCTTACTAGGCATCTATTATGCCTACAAGCGATCACCAAAAGATCAGAGGAAGATGTGGTGCGAGGCCAACGCCATCAACCAGCGGCAGGTACTCAAAGCGGAGGATGTCATGACGCAGCTCACTGCAATCCTGAATGAGCGCAGCGACGAAGAGTTGCTACCGCTGCTGGTGCAGAGGTCGTCCCGTGTGGAACTCGGTGACTGTGCGTTGCACCGAAAGCGTCGACGTGACGACGACGATGGTGATGATGATGATGGTGGCGTCGGCGTGGTGCGCCACGATAATGATGCACATGAGGCACTCAATGGGCACGGGCAGGGCAAGACAAAGTTGCGCGACTTTGAGTTGCTGCGACGCGCACTGTGTTATGGGTTTTGTCTCAACGGCGCATTCTACAACGCCAAGATCGGAAACTACCAGACCGTGGTGGGACAGCAGGTGGTGCACCTTCACCCCTCATCTGTGCTGTTCGCCCAACGCAAAAAACCAGCGCTGGTGGTATTTAACAGCGTGGTACGCACGACGAAACGGTACATGAAAGACGTCTCGGTGGTGCAGGAGGAGTGGCTCCGCGACGCAGCTTCTTTTCTAACCCCTGTGGAGTGAGTGGTGCTTTCGCCGCGTCCTAATGTTCATGGTGTAAGTTCCTTAAAGATCTGTGGATTAGAGATGCGGGGCTGCTAAATTTTATCGGTTTGTTTTGTCCCCATGCTTCTTCTTTTAATCGCTTTTGTTTTGTATAGTGACAGAACGTGGTGACCATATAAATAGAGCAATTACATATACATATAAGGAGTGAGAGCGAGAGGGAGAGGGAGAGAGACTTGGAGAACGCAACTATTACCATTGGAGGAGCAAGATGGGGGCTTTTGCGTCGCGTGGTTCTGGTGTGCCCAATTCGACCCGTTTAGCAGAAGAAGGCGATGCCGAAAACGTGCTTCGTGATTTTGACATGTCTGCACCAACTGCAGCTGTTATCGGTGCTGGCATTGCTGGTGTGCATGTCGCATATGAACTTGCGCGGCTTGGTTTTCGTGTTACCGTCTTTGAACAGCACCGTGGAATTGCACTGGGGGAGACGCAGTATAGTCTTCCTTTTATTGGCGTCGGCTTCCTTCACCCGTACATTTATACACTGCGTATGCGTCGTGAGCTTCTGCGCGGAACGCTGTCGTTCGCGTGCCCAGACATCATTTCGGTAGAAGACTCATGGAATTCTTTCTTTTCTGCCGCTATCCACCGCTGGCTGTGGGCGCGCCGCTGGAGCGCGCTCAGCCCAGAGCAAGTAATGCGCTACACGAACAATCTGTCACACCTGAGCGTCGGGGTTGTTGAGGAAATGGTCAACAAGCACCAGAGCCTGGCACCGTACATTCTAAGCCGCGACGTCTCTGTTGGTGTTCTCGCGACGACGCCCCACAGCGACGACGAAGTGACGGCAATGCCCACGTCACATCCTGCACCGTTGATGATTGATCCGGTCGGATGGACGCGCGAAGTGGCAAAGATAGCCAATGAAAAGTATGGTGTGCAATTTGCGCTTGGTGAGAGATTGCTTGACATGACCACCTACTTGCGGTATGACGCGGAGATGGTATCCACACTTCGGTTTTCCCGCGAGGTTGAAGGTCGCGTAGAGTGTAACAACCGCCGATTCGACGTGGTTGTGCTTACGGCCGGTGCCCAGACTGGCGAGCTGACGTGGGGTTCCTCGCAGCTTCCCATTATTGGCCTGGGCGGCTGCTCTGTCGCGCTGCAATCGACTGCTGGAAAGGCACTGGCTCATTTGACGCGTGTGCTGTCCACATTTCCGACTGGCATGGTATCATTGTCACCACGAAGTCACTTGATAGCGTATAAGACTCCCAGAAGTGATGATGCCACGGGTGATGTGAGTGACGTTGACAATGATGTCGGGGAGACTATTGTTCTACAGGGATTGCTATCCTTTGACACCACAAAGAAGACACAACCAAGTCTCACGGGGACATTATCACGCTTGGAGGCGTACCTTCGTGTGAAGTGCGGCTTGGAAGTCCCATTATTGCGGGAATATCAGCAACAGCAACAAGAGAAGCGACAGCATCAATATGCTGGTAGCAATAACGGTGAGGCGGATACTTCATCTGGTTCCATTAGTGTCACGCGATACATTCGAGCTTTTACTCCGGACGGTGTGCCACTGATATCAAATAACGGAGCGGCGTTTAACTCCTTCGTTTGTGCTGGGTTTGGGGATCATGCACTTGACATGGCGCCAGGCTCAGCGAGGATACTAGCGAAACTCGTTGAAGTGGAGGCGTGCGTAATGCTTCACGACGACGAGGATGATATGAAACAGAAAGGGCGACTTGTAGATGGTGTGATGGCAGAGGGGCGACTGGCACATGTACGCCAGGAGTTGCAACTGCTGCTCAACGGTTTCCTCACCCCCTCCACACCTTCTTCACAGGGCCAGGCTATGGAAACATTTTCTCAGAATCCTTTTTCTTCGACCAGATTTCATGGTGTCGTGAAGGATGAGGTACATGATGTGACGCACATCTCACTTCTGCATCGTCTGTCGAATATTGAAACAAGACTCGTGCAGGCGTGTGAACCGTTGAATCACTACATCAACCAGAAGGCCATCAAGTTGGCGCGTCAAGACAATATGCCTGACTGGCTGAGAACGATTGTGTACTACTACTTCAATGATGTGGAGGATGACGAAAAGCTTAAAGAGTCCTGGCAGAAGTACGCAGAAGGCATACAGCGGATTCGCAAAGAGTTTGAAGGCAGTTCACATTCATCCTCTTCGTCATCGCCGTGAGAGGTGCCACATGGAAGCCCTGGTGAATGGCTTGATTGACGTAAAGCTTTGGGGTTTCTGCTTTCCCAGCAATGGGGTGCGGATATGTTTGTGAGTTTGTTTTTCTTGTTGTTTACTGTTGTAATCTGAGTGTGTTTGTGTATATCTGCATACAGGTGTTTTTTTTTTTTAATTCCTCCCCACTCTCGGCGTATGGATGAAGTGAGAGAAGGTAGAGAAAAAGTGGGGGAAGAGGGGTTAGAAAGGAGGAGGAGCCAAGACGTTTGTGCGGTGTGGCCCAATGCGACCGTGGGTGGTAGTTGTGTCTCCTCTGTTGGTAGTCACACTGCTGCTGTTGCTGCTGTTGCCCACCACAGTGAGTGCGAAAAAGGAGAAGCCGCTCCACTCTCCTTTCCCGAAGGATGTGATCGACGCGATCAGCTGCGATGTCTGCAGTGTCTTGGTGAAAAAGGCGTACCATGACGTGGAGGTGCTCTTTGCCGCGAGTGCCGAGACGCGTGTGCGTGTTAGCGAGGACGATGTGCTGACGGCTATTGAGGACGTCTGCAACCCCTTCACAGAGCAAGGCCAGTGGATACGCCGGCTCGCCGTGAACAATTCCGCTGACGCCGCCCCGCACAGACTCCGCATGGGGTTGCTTCCGGTTTACACGAAGTGCAAGCGCACCTGCACCACTGTGGTGGAGGCGTGCGAGGCGATCGTTGACCACGAAACCATGGATCAGCTGACGCCCAAGTTGCTGCGCCTAAAGGAGTACGTGAATGACGATGCGTTTGCGCAGGCCTTGTGCCACGTAACACCATTTTGCAGAGACCAGCGCGGTTTGCCGGAGCAGCGGTCTACCGAGCTGCGCGCGATGATCGCCGCGGACGTCATGGAAGAGATTGATCCGAAGGAAATGGAGGTGGAGCGGATGATGGACCAGATGGAACGGAAGGAGAAGCGGCGACACGACATCTTTACGCGCGACGAGATCGCCACGATGCAGGCTGGTCTCCTGAAGGGCGACAAGGAGACAGTGGCGCAGGTAGACCCGGCCATCATGGACCTCAACGATCGGGAGTTCGCGGCGCTGCAGGCGATGGCGCGGGGCCAGAAGGGGAGCCCCCACGCTGCTGATCAGCCGCAGATGATGGGCGACTTGGTCCAGGACAACGCTGACAGTGTCGATGATAATATGGACGAAGAGGAAGGGGATTTGTAGCTGTCTTGGCACCTTCTTACAAACTGCGGGGCAAATGAGAAAACACAGTCGTGTACGCAGAGAGAGGAACGTGTGCCTAATTGCGTGGACGGGGAGTGAGAGAGAGAGAGAGAGTGGCAGTGAGGGACTGAAAAGGCTTATAACCGGCGTTTTTGGAACAGGGAAGGTATCCTTGGGCGAAATCGCAAAACTGAAAATTTTACTTTCTATTATTATTAAAAATATACGCGTGAAAAAAAACACTAACCCCACACTATGTTTTCGTACAAGTATGTGTGCTTCCTTAATGAGCTTTATTTGTTCCTACACGCTCGTGCTTCATTTTTCTTTTTGCTATTTTTTTTTTTCATTTTAAGCAGCATCACGAGGAAGCAGGCACGCTGCGGGGGAAAGAAGTGCAAGGTGCGGCAAACACGGTCTTGAAGCGCCATGCCCTTGCCTACAGGATGGGTGGATAGGGCTAGGCGTTGCTACTGCGCGTACGGGGCAGACCTAATTCGAACGGGATGCATTCTTCTTTCCACTTCCCCTTCAGTGACGTACAGAGCCGGCGTCTTGTTTCAGCGCTTTCAGAAGGTCGCCGAGAAAGTCCGTCAAAAACGAGGTGACTATCAAGGAGGAGGTGACGTTCTTGGGGCAGAAGATAGCGGTGAGCCGGCAGGTGCCGTACAAGCAGTGCCGTATGTTGTGCCGCCTCACGCTGGAACGGAGCGCCCATCCTCGGGGGTTCTCGTACTAGGTGACTTGTATGCCCCGCTTCAGTACTGTCTGGAACACTTGCACAAGCACGACGACATTGCGTACTTGGCAGCAGCGTGCATCCTCATTGCTGCGAAAGTCGAAGGTCCCTCAACGCAGATTCGCTGCATTGTGGACATGTTTATGCGCCTCAACCAGCGTCGTCGTGATGAGCCGGTTATCGAGCAGCTGCGGCCGCCGCCGGAACGGTACGATGACTTCAAGGCATGTGTGATTGAGGCTGAGGAGTTGCTGCTGCAGGCGCTTGGATTTCAAACCTTTGTGGAATGCCCGTTCAAATACGCCATCTTTTTTCTCGGCGTTATAGTCGAGAACGAGGAAGTGGAGAGCAGCAACAGCGATACCACGACAACGGTGGTGAAGAGATCTGTGTTCTCGGATACTGCTTCGTTTGTGAATCCAGCTTTGAGAAAGTGGCTTGAAGAGGCGGTGTCCTGGCTGAATGACATTCCCCGTTCTCTGGAACTGTTTGCGGAAGACGTGCATGTGCTTGCACTGTGCGCACTCCTTGCCACGCAGGGTTCCAACGTCATTGAATGTCTCCCCGACAACTGGACCCTGGCGTTCGGAGTGGAACGATCCAAGATAGATACCGTGTTGCGACTCCATCGTGATCTTCTTGGAAAAGCTGTGAGTTCTGAAAGCATCAACGCTCGAGCTCTCTTAGCAGAGCTCCCCGCGCCGTGTTGTAAAACAGAGGCAACCGAAGAGGCAGCGACCCTTGACACAGTGGCTAATGTACCCGTCGTGGAGAACACGCCAGTTGTTCCCGCGCCGCTGCAGCAGACAAAACCTGCCGACTTGAATCCTCCCTTGACGGTGCCAAGCCAGGTAATACCCATTGTTAACGTGTCACCGTTCGGTGCGCCCAAGCTGGTTCTACACCCCAACCCTGTTGTGGGCAGCAACCCCGTCGTGCAGAGTCTCCACGGTAGCCTAGGCATTCGTATCGGCGGGCACATCAGCAGTATGTCGCTGGAGAGCCATCCCACGTCGATCTTCCCCGAGCAGCCCGAAAAGGAGATGGTGTTTGAGGACCTGAACGACGCGCGGCGGCGGTGGCGACAGGAGGAGGAGGAGAAGGGAAGGGAGAAGGATAAAGGGAGGGAGAAGGAGAAGGAGAAGGAGAAGGACGAAAAACATACGAAACAGAGGCGGAGGAGCAGCAGCCGCCGAAAGCGCCATCGTTCCGGCGACAGACGTCGAAGCCGCTCAAACAGTCGGCGAAGGGAGGACAGTCGCGAGAGACGAAAGCGGCGGTACTCCTCCAGCGCACACAAGGACAGGGCTCACCGCAGTGAGCAACAGATGCAACATCAACAACATCACCGCTCGAAGGGTGACCACAAAGACGATAGACAGCGTCAGGCCGACCGGCAGCGCAATGACACCAGACATCAGCGTCGCCGAAGGTGAGAGGAGGCTCTTGTGCATCTGTGTGTGTGTGTGTGTGTGCTTGCGTATGCTTGTGTGTCCCTGAGCCTACGATTGATGCTAGTTTAAGATTGTCGAGAACAGCAAAACTGGTGGAAGGTGACAACGGCTCTTTTTAAGTGTTCCTTTTGTTTTTTTGTAGCGTTTCAGTTATGTCCTTTTCCCTTTTTCCCCCATACTCTTGGAACTGCAAGACAACACAATAGCAGGCCGCGCATCTGTGTGTGCATGTGCTGAGGGAACGGGTGCCGGGTTGTGGTTGTCCCCAAATGCATGCCTGGAGTGCCCACAGTGTTTCAGCGCTGCTCACGGACCTGGCACTGAATAGCTACGCTGATCACCTGGCCTCACAGCGTGCACTGTCGGATAATTCGAACGGAGGGACGGCGCCAGGTGCCGTTTGTCTCGAAGAGGCACTGGCACCGCTGCAGCTGATCCACGGAAAAGTGTTTACGTCAGCGGTAGGGATTGCCCTCCATGGGGCTGAGCTCATCATTCGCTACGTTGCATGTGACAAGCTCGAGGAAGGTGAGAGGGAGGAGGAGGAGGAGAAACAGCAACAACAACAACAACGACAACCCTGGAGTGGCGACGGTAGTGAAAGTAGCTTCACTGGCAGGTGCCTCTACTTCGTTGGTGAGCATCGTATCCTGTCTCCGTATTACTGCCCGTGTGGGGCGTACGGTTACCAGAGCATCCGGCGTCAGGAGATGTGGCTATGCAAGCATCTGCTGGCACTCCGCTTGGCGCTCCTACTCGAGCGACGCGGCCTCGTGAATGACACCATACGGGTACGAAGAGTGACCATGTGCCAGTTCCGGGATATGATGCAGCGGTTGGACTAGAGTTATCCTCGCTTTGTTTCTTTTGTTGTTATTCAGAGGATTCATCAGCCACCGACAGAATTTACTTGGATTCCTTCCTTCCTTCCTGATCCCTTGGGGATTTCTCCTCTTTTACTGCTTCGACTCTCTGTCTCTCTCTATTTCTCTCTGCATTTCCACGTTGCTATATGTGTTTTTGTTTTTGTCCCTTAAAGAAGTATTGCGCCAATTATTGTTTGCTCTTCCCTTTGCTTTTTTTCCTCTCCCCCCCCTGTCTGCCGCTGCTGCTGCTGCTGCTGCAGTTTGTAGGAAAACAACAGTTGATTCATTTGTTGTAGCTGTTTTCGTTTTAGCATACCTGCTTCTCACGCCGCGTTCCCCTTTTTTTGTTTCATGCCACCTGCGGAAAGGGTATCTCTTCCGCGCATGGACGATGCAAGGGTGATGCGGCCGCAAGGTGAGGAGGCTGGCCTGATTCGCGTGCTCTCTACCATTTGGGACGCTTCATGGGAGCAACCGCAGCGTTCGCCGCGAGAGTTTTTCATATGGCCGACCTTTCCGATCCGCTACATGTACACAACAAGGCTGCTCGTCAACCTACTGTGGTTCTCACGGAATTACTTGAATTTAGCCTTTTTGATTTCCCTACTGGTGGTTTTTTTCATTCCGCCCTGCGCCTTGGTCGTCGCGGTGAGCAGCAGCATGCACCTAATGAAGAGGAGTGCACCCTTACTTAGCAACACGCCAACGACCAACATCGCGGATGACAATACAGTGAAGAAGGGGTCTGGCCGAAGCCTTATGGCTGCATGCCTGACGCTTCTCCAGGTGCTTTGCTGTATTTTTGTGTGGTATCGCTGTGGGCTGCTTTCCATTGTGCTGAGCATCATCATTGTGACAATGCCGGTCCTATCTCACGCCTTCTTTGCGCCCTACACTGACGAAGCCTTCGAGTTGTACTGCAGTGTGCTTCGCCAGAGGGAACTGCCAGTGCCGACGCCGCGCTCACCTACGCTCATGTTCTCCGCAGTGGACCCCCGATTCACCGTCCTTAGCAAGCGGGAGAGCGTCGTGGTAAGCCCTCAGCGGCGTAGTACTCCACGCAGCCTCATTTCATCGCCTCGCTCCTTGACGCCGTTTCGGAGACCATACAAGGAGGAGGGCCCAAGCTTGTTGAGTCGGATGAAGAAGAACGGCATTTCAGAGGGCTCAAGGCGCATTTCTTCCAGAAATCCAAAGTGCACAGAGAGAATGTCTCCACCCACATATGGGAAGGTGCAGCGGATTGAAGAGGGTCCCGAGAGGGCCGCCAAGCTCGCAGCTCCACGCGAAGCTGAAAACCCCAGTAGCGAAGAGGTTGAGTGTGTTTCGCATTACCTGAGGTTCCAGTTTAATAGGGAAGATGTGGCCTTGATGCCTCTGTCTCCGACGTCTGGGGTGTCTCCAGTACTTTGTTTACCAACCGTGGAAAGTGACGGTGAGAAGGCAAAGGACTTCGCTCTGGAAAAGGACAGTTTCGATGCACGAGATGTGCAGTGCGCGAAGTTCCCCTTCAGCGACATCTTGGTGGCAGAAGAGTCGATGAGTAGCAGTGGCGTTGCAGTGATTTCGCCATTTGCCGCGTCGTGTAACTGGTGTGCTTCCCCCAAGTGCAATGAATGTCTTAGCGAGACGCCTTGTAGCGAACGCGTATTCGAAGGGGGAGTGTCAATCACGCAGCCGTGTATGAGCGAGTAGGGTGGGGAGTGTTTGGCTAACAGAAATGGGCTCATCAAGAGAGAATTCACTGACATCATTAAACATAATGTTGCTTTTTTTTTTTTGTTTTTTTCCTTTGCGCGCGCGTGTGTGTGGTTTCTTTTTTTGTTTTTTTTTTTGTGTGTGTGGTGCTTGCTCTACTTCCACTTGCTGAATTCGATTGTGTGAAAGCAGAACGAAAGATGACTGTTGATGGAGATTGGGCGACGGTGATCCGTTGACAAGTGCGTCGAATGGGGAGTGAATTGCCGCTACCTCTGGTGAGTCATTTGCTGTGTGCTTGTGCGCTCACTCCCCAGACGCTAACGCATGGATATATATATATATATATATATATATATATATATATATGCACCGATGACCCATTATCATTGAAAACTCTTATTATTTCCCATGTGGGGGTGTGGACTGCACGATAGATTGCCACTTCGTACCCAAGGGAGGCAAAAGCGGAGGTGAAGGAATGTGCTCTTCATTCTTTTCCCTATCGAGTTGGAAAGTGTGTGCATATATGCGTTTTGCGGCGATATTGTGGTTATGAATGTGGACGAGAACTGATCCGCACATTTTGCCACCTGTTGGTGACTGGCTCTGTTTCTTGCGTGCCCAGCGGTGCGTTTCACCGGTTTGGTGTGTGGTGACCAAGAATTTCTGTGTGCGCTTGCTCGCGCCCAAGGAGTTTTATCACCACGGCAATGATGTTCGCTATTCTACATACGTGTAAGAAATGTTAATCTTATTTGAAAAGCAAGGAGACCCCCCAAAAAAAAAAAACGAAGGACCTGAAGAGAAAGAAAACAGGGAAGAACCGGCCGAGTGAATAAGAAAAAATAAGCGTGGCGATCACAGACCTCGGAAAGACAATTGCTGCGCTGCGAACGCTGTTGTTTGCTTCTGCCTGGATGGGGCGTGAAGCACGTGGAGGACGAAAAGGGTGACTGGGGTTGAGGGGGGATTCCACAAGGAGCGGTACCTGACGACGCTGGCGTCATGACGCCGCCACGGAATGAAATTAACAAGAAGCAAACAATTTGTAATGTATGTATATATATATATATATATGCGTGTGTGTGTGTGTGTAGTGAGAAAGAAGACGGAAGGAAAAGTGTGGCGTGGTGTGGTGTTTATATCCCTGCATGCATGTGTGTTAAGAGCTATGCTGACCACGCCATCGGTGCAGCTACAGCAACAGACACAGAGCATGAAGAGGGTCAGTCACTTCTTCACTGATCTCTTTTTTTTTGTAGTAGTTGCTGCTATTGTGAGTTGCCGTCGTTTTTTCCATTATCTTTCATTGCTTTTCTTTTTACCACACCTCCGTTTTATTTTTTTTT